TGTAACGGTAGAAAAGAGCCAGATCGCCGACAGCCCGCCGGTGCGAAAGAGTCCCGAGACTGTCTGTTAGAGAAGAGTCATCGATCAGTCGGACCGCCCTCCTCTGGACAGCGTCGAGCATGGATAATGTAGTCGGGGCGGCAGCACCCCAAACGTTTGAGCAATACTCGAGGCTAGGCCTTATCTGGCCTTGTATAGAGTGAGAAGGTCATGCGGAGAAAAGTACTTCTTAGCCCTAAACAAATAGCCTAATAGCCAATATGGGGAAAACCAAATTTGTCTGACGGTTTGAGTTTAATGTGTACAAGAAAGAAGCGCGAGAAGTGTTTTTTAACACATGTTAGAAAGAGATAGACGCTGAAGAGCGAAGGTCATCACCATATTGCCTAGCAACGGTGACGCAGAAGGTCATGCAAGCTGCCGCGTTGCCAATATGATACACCAGAAAATGTTCGCACAGGCTGCTACGATGGGCTAGGTTAGTGTCAAACCCAAGAAGGAGGTGGGTTCGAAGATTTAATTTAATATTTTTTTTTTATTTTGATTAGAATTATTTATTTCAATTTTGATGCGACTTTGTGTTTTAACTTATTTTAGAAATGATCTTTTATTTCCGCCGATGGTGATAAAATCAACACATCCTGAGTTATTGTTACATTTTGGACATCGCAATACAAATTATCATTTCGAAGCTGGACGACACACCCCTACGAGCGTTAGATGGGTACTCGGCAAAATCGCTCAACTATGATCATGGAGGTGGAAACCTTGCCTTGGAATGTACAAGATGCCGTGTTCTCAAACGAACCAATGATGTAATGTTGCAGAATTTTTCATTTCCACCTAAAATGGAGCGCCGATAGGACCAATCGAGAATCAATCCTAAAAGGATTCGACACAATCCAAAAATGTATACGCTTAACATTTAACCATTATTCGGGCGTAAAGAATACACTAACGCATATTATCAATATGCATCTTAATTCAAGCAACTGGTGTAACATATTGGCAACGCGCCAGATTGTCGCGTCAGCGTTGTTAGGCAACGAGGTGATGAACTTCGCTATCCAGGCGGCTTCTATCTCTTTCTAACAGATGTGTCTATACACTTCTCTCTCGTACACATTGAAGTCAAGCCGTCAGACAAATTTGGTTCTCAGTGTATAAAAACTAGCAATAATATGTTATTCATAAAGAATGAGCTTATTGATCTGAGGTTCGCAAATTTGATTCAAGTTTTTCATTTTGTCATTTGCGTGTGTTAGATATATGTATGTGCGTCCATTTTACATTTATCTTAGCTACTGAACTCATGTCAAAATACATACGAAAAATACACAGACTTCTTGAACGCGTCGAAACTTAATTATATTATTATTATTTGCAATAAATACAAAACCTTTTCTGAATAAAATCAACATACTAATGTTCATTAAAAAACAAACTAATCTATTATCTAGCATTCAAGCGTTACGAAGTGAGTCTACGTCTACACAGTTTGGCAAGTCCCCGGCGTTGCTAAATAATGTAAGCAATTGGAATTTGTTCTGGTCAAATGAGTGTGTGTGGTCGTATTCTATTTTTTCTCATTTTGTGGCGATGATGGCGAAATAAAAAGAAAACTGTTAATGAACGATATGGAGTATTTGGGGTGTCACCCAAGCTTTCTATTCCATGCATAATAAATTGTAGCTTTGAAGAGGAAGAGGAAAGTATGGGTAATACGTATTCATTATCCACATCACATGTTTATATTAAGGTACATTATTGTAATGTGCTTAGAACAACATAATAAATAATTTAATTTGGTATAGCAATGTAGGTTTCTCGATAATTCTCTTCAATGAAATGCGAAAGGCTTTCGCGGCCATCATCCAATGTTACGAGGGCGGCTCAGATATGATGGAGACAAATGCTGCAGATGGCGCGCATGTATGTCTTGAAGGTCGTGGCTTGAGTATATGATAGCTGCGTCCCTTACGAACAGTGTGGCATAGCTTTCGTTACAAGCGCATGTTTCACGCGCCTGCTAACGACCATGAGTTAAGGTCAAGTGCCAACCGCCGTTGCGCAACGTATTGTCATTCGTTTTTTAGTGTGGGAAGGTAATAAAAACACGGAAATTTTTCTGCGTTTGCAAAATCAGTTCTGTAGTGAGTGCCTGAGTAGGGCTGCTGTGTTTAAATGGGCCATAGCATTCAAGGATGGCCGCGAAACCATCGAGAATGAGCCGCATGATCGTCGACCGCGAACCATCAGCATCACACCAGACAGCTTTCGCCGTGCTGTACGTCGACTTCCTAAGCAGCCAACGTTCCACCAATGCTGCATACTACTCTAACCTTCTAAAAACACAGGTGAAACCCGCTTATCGCTCGAAATGGAGAAGCATTCCAGCAAGAAGTGCGATTCTTCCCCAGGAGAACGCACGCCTTTATGCTGGGCGTCTCAGGCTCGATACAATATCGAAATTGGGGTGTGACGTACTGAAACACCCCCCTACAGTCCGGACTTATCACCCTGCGACTACTACATGTTTGGATCACTGACAGAAGCCCTCGGAGGTCAAAGATTCGACAACGACGACGAGGTAGAAGAGTTCGTGCGCACATGACTGTCCGAGTTGCTCAAGGAATTATTCAATGCCGGCATTAAAAAGCTCCCGGAAAGGCGGAAAAAAATGCGTAACTAGTGAGGGAACGTCCCTAGAAAAACTGTAAATTTTTGTACATTTTTTCGGTAGTAAATAAACGTGTCAGACCATTTGTCTCGATCATATTTGAACCACCCTCGTATTTGGTTGGTTTTTGGGTAGTTAGGTCGTCGTAAAATATTTTTATTTGACGTTTCGCCAACACGAGTGGTTGGCATCTTCAGAAGGTGTTCATAGTTCGAAGCCCTCACAGGACTCCGAACTGGATGATCCTGGGGGACCGAGGGTGAAGTGGTTTTTGGTAAAAAAGTTGTCCCCCTTGACAAATCTTTTGACCTGACTCGGCGTTTTTTCTTTTAATCAGTAGTTTTCGATAAATCCGTGGTGGAAAGTTTTCAGATGAACACCCTGCATGTATAGAACACTTCTTTCGCCTCTCTCTCGTACAGATTACCCCATCAGTGATATTTTGATTTCTCTGTTTATTCTCAAAATCGAGAGGATCACTTATATTAAAGTAATGTGTTCCGATCTCTGATCAACGAGTGGACGGAGAAGAACGAAAAAATAAAAATCGTTCAAAATTCGTTATTTGACGTTTCAGGGGATCCTCATCATTTTTGAAAATAATTTTAGGGGCAAGACATTTGTTTGATGTAAGTATATTTATACGCTCCCAAACTTAGTAATTCTATGGACCTATTAGACATATCTCACTCATGATTGATTTCCCCGTATATTTGCCCTTAAAACTAATATTCTCAGCAGACGGATCGCGTATACCCAGACCCGTCTGCTTCTGCTCCCGGCATTGGTAAATATTTTGGTATTACTGCCGCGTCTGACCGGTGACCGCGTTAGGTATCGGGGACAGGCGACGTTGACGAACTTGGTTTCTTGAAACTAATTTTTTGAACATGGTTACACAGTTTCACGTTAGGGTTTTCCACAGTGTATATCATGTTATGACTCACATAGGCGTGTCATGTGATGCAAATAATGCAAGAGCCAACGTGTTTACCCGATTATGCGCAGGAAAGGTCGAATGGCCAATAGGCAAACAACACCTGCTCTTGAAATATCGGTATCGGCTCGGCCGATCTCTTAGTACTTGGGCTTATGGAACTAGTAGCGGTATTAGAGCGAGTCAACCCAGAAGGGGAATGAAAAAATACTATTTACTGTCTGTATTGCCAGCATATTAATATGAAATCATCAAAAATCGACTTGCTCCTAGCAGTCAGCAAATGAATTAATTTTTAAATTGTAAAAGTTGATCATGTTGCTAAATGTCATAGGGTCCGTTCAAGTATTACCTAAGCAAATTTTTTACAATAATTAGTGAGCAAATCTCTAACCCCCCGTCTCATGCTTATGTAAACATTTTGGTACATTTTACAGTTTGAAGCAAGTATTGGCATTCATGCACACGTTCTGTATACCCTTTAATGTCTTGAAAATCTGGTTCGTCTGACACAACATACTTTTTGCAGTAACATGATAACTCTCAATTCTCATTGAACTCCATATACCTGTGCTAATACAAACTCGAAATTAGATCTTTCTGAGTGTTCATTAATTGTAATTACTCATTCATGCAAATGAGATCAAAATGGTCATGAGGCAGTATCAAACCAGTTACCACCAAAGAGGAGCCATCCTGCGCTTCACTCGATTAAACGCATTTTTACCAAAAGCATTGTTAGCTGAGGTCTAAGCGAGATATTCCTGAAGATGCGTTTCACTTTTGAGCAGAGACAAGCAGGGTTTCCATATGCGTTCAAATCAAAATCAACTAAATTTTGTAAACAATTCGAAAAAGTAAAAAACAAATTTTCTGACGTAATCACTATCTAGAATCACCATCTCCCATGTCATTGAAGATAACCCCCTTTAGTGCGTATGTAACACTTGGATAATCCTTTACATAGGTGTGAATAGTAAGAGTTAAGAATGTTTCGTGCTCACGATGTATCTATTCTAAACCTTTATTTATCAAATATACTGCTTCAAAGAACATAATGATGTTTTATATAGGAATACACAAAGATGTTTTGATATCACAGACTTGAAAAACAAAGTAATAACATTTTCCATAAACTTAAGCTAATTTACAATTTAATGAAAAAATATAATTCTACAGAGCCTGGAGTAGTTTTTACAATCGGACGCGTTATGTGACAACGTCCAATTCACGAACTTGTAAATAATCAGTTCATTTTTAAAAGAACAAATTTTTATTATTGAAAGCATGTTTTTCGGAAGCAGCTCCTTTACTTAGACATTTGCTAAATATAATATTTTTGAGACTGAAATAGGGGATAAATCAACTTAAAAATAAAACTCATATGAAAAAATAACAGTCTGTATTAATCAATAAAGGATAAACACACTTTAAACTTACATTCATAAATTATAAAAAAGAAAACTTATGATTGCATTTAGGTACACTTATGAGAAAAGCAAGTTTCAACTTGAATGCTGGCTTGGCGTCAGACCTCCACTATGTTCAGGACTATGCTTCTGCTTTTTTCGTTTTTTCTCCTTTTTCCGCTTTTTCCTTTCTTTGTCTTCATCATGCCTTTTCTGCTTTTTGTGCTTCTTCTCATGGGTATCATTGGCTGTGTCTGTTACTGTAGTTTCTTGACTGGGAAGACCTCCTTCTTTGTGTTTATGCTTTTTGTGTTTGTTCTTGTGCTTCTTTATGGGGACAGTGTTGGTATAACGGTATTGTTCAGGTAACTGGAAAAAAGTATTGGTTTCAGTGTTGCAGCTATCATAAGCCTTTTATCTGGTGTCCCGCTATGGATTGACTAATTTTTTTCTATAACGTTCTAGAAGATAAAGTCGTATTCAAAACTTCTAATATGAAGTTTTTTATGTAATATTTTTTTTGTATACTGAATGTCTCAAAAAGTGCTATTTAATAAAGTTGTATTTTTTAAACAGAACACCCTTCAAATACTGATTAACTACATGTAGTGATTAAGTTTCTCAAGATACATAAAAAAACATTTTTGTGTTTAACAGACCATGAAGTTGAGATTGAGTTCTTGAATACTGGAAATAATTATAAATGGGTTCTTCCCAACAAGAGTTTCTGACAGTCCTAGAATTATTTATGGTGGAATAAATCAATTTAGCATGTAGCTAAAATATAGATAGCATTACATAAAGAATTATACTGTAATGATTAAAAAAACATAAATCTCTTGTTGGTTTGAAACTAACTATCCATCGACTTACTGGTCCTGGATGTAGCCTGAAGCCATCCAACTGCACACTAGTTAAAGGTAACAATTCTTTGCCACCAATTGGAGGTTTTTCTATCACTGACCTCAATGAGCTATTGTCTTGCAGCCCTGGTGAGTCTATCACACCTGGTAAGGTGGGCAAGAATGAAGACAACTGCTCCTTTAATTTCTTTCCACTGAATTTACTATATGAGTGCTCTAAGCCATAGTAGGTCATCAAATTTGTAGCACCTGTTAGTTCAGATTCAGCTGTAACAAATATCATAATTATAACAAGTGGATTTTATTTATAGAAGTTGTGAGCATTTGAGCAACAATAACACAAACACTAGATGCAAAAGTGAGATGATAGTATAATGGGTACAACTTGTTCTTCAACATGTGGTAAAGGATTTGAGCGAAGAGTAAATACTCTAGTTCCTGATATGATAATAACCAGGAGAGTCTTAATCATTTAGGTTGCTAGAGTTAAACTTTACACTTGACATTTCTACTTGAACATTCAGATTCAAGAAGCTATCTAGTAGAAAGTGTTCTATAAGGCCTGTATCGTCAGTCGTCCCTACAATTGTAGGGCGCCTTTATGGCCTCCTTGACTGTCATAGTTTTCTACTTCTCCATGTCAGAACTCTATTTTGAGGTTATGTCACAAACATCCATTTGCATTAAATTGTACTTGCTTTTGAGTTATATCATGTTTTATCAGCCTGAAATTCCCTACAATTTAAAAAGAAAACATATCTTCACAATAGGAGAGCGCTGACACTGACACGGGACAAGTGTTATCTAGAAATTTTTGAAGGAGATAAAGCAGTATGACAATCAAGGAGGCCATAAACGCGCCCTACAATTGTAGGGACGACTGACGATATGGGCCTAAACTATAAACAGCTTTTGACAACAGTTTTGACATTTGCCAAATAAGTTAGTGAATGCCCGCATATTCACAATTATTCCATTCCCTCATTTCAAGAAATAAATCCCTCAGGGTTACTTATTGAGCACAGTATAAGATAATGCTCCATGAGTAAAAACCAACTTGTTTTCTTGTCCATACATGAAGCATTTTATAGAAAACATGGCTCATTCTTGAAAATGCATACAATTACAAGAAAAAGGAAACCAGTCTTCTTATATGGTTAAATGTTTCACCATTATGCACCATGAAATACTGCTGCCATTTCCATAAGTATATGGCAGCTAAATTATAACTTGCTAAAATAAAGTACAATATGTTCTTTACAAATATATAAAATATAAATCTTGCAGTGAGGTTGTAGTACATTTTGGATATGCAATCCTGATATTTTAACAAGGATTAACAAATAGTGCAGAGGCTAGGATGATTGGGTATGTTCCAATATTTCAGAAAATCAAGCTACAAAAAAAGGGCCAAAGCTGTTCAGAGTAGTTGAAACAGGAGCTCCACAGAAAATAAAATTTACATCAGTATGATAATACTCTAAATCCTCCCCATGTAAAGACCAAAAAGGTTCCAGAACTTTATTTAATGTGTTGGTTGGCAAGTTGTGAAAGAAGATATGAAGTTAAATAAGTATTCAATTCATTCAGTGAAGATAGATTAAGATTATGGTAATTGCTAGTACGATGTAGCACATGAAGATGAACACAAAACTGTCACCCAAGAGTACCAGTACTGCCATGTTAGAACTATTAAGGGCTACAATGAAGAGATTGTCAGTGACTGTTATGTGTGTAAGAGATGAAGTCAGCACAACAGGGTTAAGGTCCTCATTATAAACGTTTCAAGTTTCTGGTAACAGGGGCCCCCGCTCAAGGTTTGACCTGGAGCCCCTCTAGCATTAGCACCAGTCCTAGTTGCTAGTATGTGTCTGGGTCACAGAGGGCCACCATAGTCAAACCCTCTTACAGCATGAAGTTACAAATAATAGAAAATTTTATAGTGAATAACTCAATCATACCTGGAGGTTCCTTCAACAAGTAGAAAGGTCCACTAGGGACTATGGATGGGTTCTTTCCTAGCAAAATTGTCGTTTTTAATGTTCCGGACGAATCCTGACGAGATACAACTGGAGACCGGGCCCCACGTGGTGATGATTTTGGTGAATATTGTTCTACTTTTCGAAACTGATCTCCCATCATCTTTTCACTTCATTGTTCAAAATTTATCCATTACAAATTCACAAACAAGAAAAATAAAACTAGCTTGACAACTGCACATTGTACCGCGCACGCGTGTGACGTTTACACCCATTTGAGTTTACAAGTGTCAATTTTTATTAGAGATGGGTATTTGGCCTGTGATTTCCAGTGGCGTAACCTACGCCCATCCAAACTCCAATGCGATTTCCAGGTTAAATACTTATCTGCTAATAATTTTCTTTCTTTTTCTTTGAATCTTCTTACGGATCAATTGAGGATGATTGTACAATTAACGAGGAGGATGACTATTTGATTCGTGGATGCTATAGGTATAGGTTGTGCTATAGGTGGCATTTCTTGCACAGATTTATAAGCGTTACACCGTCGTTTTTTGCCAATGGGATGTTAGTAGACACTAATCAAATCCAAGCGAATAACCAAAATTTCTGTGTTATGTGCCGCGGTTATAATAAAGTTGTAAGTTGTTTATTTTAGAAAAACCCGTATATAATCTCTGATTATTTTTATTATCACTTAATAATCGGTGCTTTTTCGTCTACAACTGTATATGGAAAGTTTAAATAAGAAACCTTTCATAATATTCATGGGAGAAATGTTTTTTTCAAATTTTTTTTTAATGATGGAACCATGGCTTTGTAGCTATGATAACTTTGATTTCTCTAAATTTTTCCGCATGTCAAAGAAAACATTTATTGATTCAGCAGAAATGATGAAAAAAGAAATTAGCAAAACCGTATACAGGTGGATATCATCTAGTGAGTTTATATGGCCATATTTTAATATTCTTGTGGTATATGGCTACACAGGATACTTTGTTAAGCATAGGAACTACATTTAAAGTGGTAAAACTGAAGTCAGCCTGTATCATTTTTCTCAAAAATGAAGCTGAAGTACAATAACAATATCCAGTACCCGGCAAAATTCTAACTTGTCACATTTCAAATAATAACCAGAAATATAAAACTACTCTTGAGTTGGGTAAATACCACAATTTTGCGGTGATAACTATGACATATTACAGCTGATTCGTGACGTCACGGATCTTATAACCAAACTGATAACTACACTCGCTTGAACGGATTGGTAAATACCAATCCAAAATGGTAAATACCATTTCCATTTGGTTATCCGCTTGAATTTGATTACTGTCATTCAGTGTTAGGTGTTCTGTGGCTGAGATGGTACTGTCATGATGACGGGTGGATGACAGGAGCTCAAATATGCACCCTATTTAATAAAGTCCAGCTGCCCTTGGGAAAATATTGATTTTCAACTCAGATTTTCATGTCTTGTCTGAGTCTGCATTGCAGTGCTGCTACACGATATTCTAAACGACATTATTAACATCATTTTAGATAAAACATGGTATGGAATTATTCTATATAACATATTTATTCACTCTACTAAAGCTGTATATTAAATGAAAATTACGATTTTTCAGGCTGTCTTCAAAGTTGCTAAATGTCCAACTGACGAACTTTCACTCTCAAACTGTGCCGTCGTAAATGAGGCCGATTTTCCAAATTCAAAGTGAGGAAATTCAAATCTCAATTGATCCCCACAACTAATCATCTGTATTTTTAGACACATCAAGATACACACTGGAGGAGGCCAGAATTTCGTGTTTTCCATAAAAAGTCATCCAAGTATAGCAAGGTACACAGTTGGGTTCAGTCTTCCTCAGAGGAAATGGGCTGTACTTTCACTTAATCAAGAGATCAATGTTGAGCCTTATCATCCTGAAGAATACATATCCTCCATTGTTTTGGAGGCAGATTTCATGCAAAAAAAGACGTAAGTTGTTTCCTTATTTAGAAAATTATAAAATATTGTGTGCTTATATTTGGGAATTGTTTTTTGGAGTCTTGAAAATATTTTGTTTTATTTTTCCAGTATTCTTGTTAATATAGCAACTGAGCCTATGGATATACTTTAGAGTAGTTTCATATCAAATGTTGGTTAAAGCTTCATGAAGCTAGAATGTAACAGTTACTTTAAATAATATATATTGTTATGATAAGATACTTATTATATCATAGATACAAGGTTTACCATATAAAAAACAGTTTAGCCTTACATATTGTTTTACTATGCTATTGAGATCTCATTACAATTATTAAAACTGAGATAGTAAGTTATTACCTACATATCTTTATCACTCAGTGTATAAATTAGAAATAATAATTTAGGTGATAATAATGAATTCATTGATATTTTGTATCTATACAATTTGATTTCAACTGTTTTGAATCAATATAATAAAAAATGCATTCTAATGAGGCATTTAAACCATGTAACCATTTGACCTACTTTTGGATTGATCCTGCACAGAGGTCAGGGTCAAGTTTACACATTTGTTTTTACCTGATATCTATGAAATATCTTGAATTTCTGCTTGCTCTCAACTTCTTTTTGCATGACATGTAAAACTAGAACTCATGTTTTTTAATGTTCTGCTGGGCTTGCTATTTTTTATATCATTGTTTCTCAATCAGTGTTACTCAGTATATAGTAGAAATGTTGAAAACTACATCTAGATAAAAATCAAAGCAATATCAAACATTACTGCTGTCATAACCTAATAACTCTTCTATTGTAAACCTCATAGCCATTTTTCTTCCTTCCACTCATCTTTCTGTTCTCTCAAGGATGTGTTACTCTGTCCCAGTTCACACAAGGATGAGTTGCTCAATCCCATCTTACACGGATGTTTCCTGAGCTGACAGTATCCAGGGATAATGAGGTCTGAGGCCTAAACACCCATGGGTACTGTGGGGCTGTAGGGGGATACAGCGGAGGGGGGGCTGATGCCTCACGGACCCTGCGAGGCAACAGGTGTGCATGCAATGCATAAATTCTGGCCCCACATTAGAGATCCGCTGCGTGGTACCTCCGCGTTCGACAGTGAGACCGCGCAAACTAGCAAAAGTTGGACTTATATTAGCCAGCTTGCTTTTCCTGGTGAAAAGAACCAGTTCTGTTTTGTTGAGATTAACTTTCATAACATGATCTCTGCACCATTCCTCTAGGATCCAAAGGGCTGGTTGGGGGCATTTGCAGGTGATACCTTCTAATTTACTGTTGAGCAGTACTGTGCACAGGCTATTGTGTAGACTCCTTTACTGATGTGCCTGACCAGTAGGCTGTCAAGGACAAGGCTCCAAAGAAGTGTTGAGAGGACCCTGCCCTGTGGGTAGCCCCCATATTACCATAACAATGTATTACTAGGGGACAGATGAATAAAACTATTTCCCATAATAATAACACAGTTTCTCTCAAACTGGTACACTCTTCTTAGCTGGCATATAACAACTTGTGGGAGCTTAACAGTGCTTTAATTTTGCAGTACTTCACAAGAGCAGTATGACACAGATGAGATGGCTAAAGAATTCCTCTATTCTTTTCCAAACCAGATGTTTACTGTTGGACAACAGTTAGCATTTGCTTTCAAGGACAAAAAACTACTGTTGTTGGTGATTAAAGATATTGAAGGTAAGATATCTGAGAATCATTTAAAAAAAAAACCCCAGCACTTAATTTTAAAGATGTATATTGTAGCCTAAGATACATTGACATCACATAAAAAATGGTTTAGTGGATTGTCAAGATTCATTTTCACAAAAAAACATGAGTACCTAATTTTAAATATATATAATTTTACTTAAGATACATTGATTATTAATGTAAGATCACTTACAAATAATTTCTTTGAATTTAAACAGTTTATGTTAGAAAAGAAATTTGATATAGTTGGTGTTTGTGAGTCGTGGTTGCATAATGGGATTCCCAATTCTAGTATTCACATTAATTGTTATAGATTTTTCAGGTTAGATAGAGCGTGTAAAACAATAAACATTCTCCTTAGCAAAGCAGTAGAACAAATTTGGTTAGAATTTTGTATAAATAAAGAGTATTTCAAATTTGGCACACTTTATAGGCCACCAAGTAAAAATGTATGTGCCTTCCTACTTAATCGAGGACCAAATCTCACTGTGCTTTATTTAAAACCTGGTACTATCATTTTTTGTGGAGACATCAATATTGATTGTTTGAACTTTCAGAACAATCAAGTTGAGGCCTTTCATAACTGTATTGAACTTTTTAATTTATCTCAATTAGTTAATTCGGCCACTCGTATCACTAATACTTCTGCTTCTCTTATTGATGTCATCCTGTCTAATGATTTAAACATATCTGACAAAGGAACAATAGATATTGTTGACGTGTCTGATTATTTGTTGGTGTATTGTACTTTGAATTTGAAATGTGTTGTAATGGAGAGTAGTAAATATGTTAGAAACCTTAAAAATATAGATTAGGGTATCCTAGAAGAATTTTTTCAAATTTCTCCTTTTCTTGACTTATTTTTCATAAATAATACAAATGAAAAGATACTATATTTCAATAGTATTATTCTTAATATTTCTGACACTTTAACTCCACTGAGTTCAAATTTAAACATTTTAAGCCGCCATGGTTAACCGCCAATATTAAATTAATGATGTCTCTTCCTGACAAGGCGTTTCGAAAATTTAAAAGGACCGGTTTGCCGGAACATTGGGATTATTATAAACAAATGAGGAATCTCACCACCAATGCTGTCAGGGCTGAACAAATATCACATTTTAAGTATTCGCTTAACAGCTGCCGAGGGAATTCAAATGCTATCTGGAAGAAATTGCAAAGCCTAGATATTGCTGGCAAGTCTAAAACGCCAAATATACCTGCAGAGTTTGATGATCCGAATGAGATAAATAAGCATTTTCCGATTCCGTCATCAAACAATGTTGATCCTGATCCCGAAAAATTTCACTTTTACAATAGCAATTTCCGTAAGGATTTTGATCGGTTATTTTCATTTGAACCTGTTTCTGAAACCATTGTTTACAAATATCTTAACGAAATAAAAACTCTTGCAACTGGGGCGGATGGTATTAATATAGAAATGCTACTTTTATGCTGTCCGCACATTTTACCAGCCATAACGCATATTATTAATTGTTGCCAAATAGAAAATACTTTTCCAGACTGTTCATCCTCTGCCAAAGGAAGGAACTATATGTAGCTTGTCGGATCTTCGTTCAATTTCTATATTACCGGTGCTGTCTAGAGTTCTGGCAAAAATTATAAATTTTCAGTTAATGCTTCATATAGATGAATATGATTTGCTGCCTTCATTTCAGTCAGGGTTTCTAAAGGGTTTTAGTTGCACGACAGCGCTTCTAGATGTTACGGACGAAATTATCAGGGATATTGATAACAACAATACAGCGGCTCTTGTATTGCTTGATTACACAAAGGCATTTGATACAATTAATCACCAGTTAATGTTTTCTATTTTAAAATACATGGGATGTTCCGTTAATGCTATTAAACTATTCAAAAGTTATTTCTCGAAGAGGACGCAGTTAGTCATAACCTCTTCCGGGGTGTCTGTTTCCAAGCCTGTTCTGTGTGGGGTGCCTCAAGGCTCTATCTTGGGTCCACTACTTTTTTCAGTATACTCTGCAAATATTACTAGTAGTTTAATATATTCAAAGCCTTATTTATATGCTGATGATACCCAGATAAAATTTTCGTTCTCTCATACAGATACAACAACTGCGGTTACATTATTAAATGAAGATCTTAATAATGTGACAAATGAAAGCATAACACATCAGTTATCCGTAAATCCAACCAAGTCAAATGTTTTATTGTTCGGGAAACACAAAAATAGCGTGGCAGATTCATTCCATATTTCAATTAATAATAATGTTATTCCTCATACATCCGCTATTAGGAACTTAGGTTTGATTATGGATAGTGACCTGAGGTAAAATGTTATTTCCACATCGTCATATCTTTTCTGCCGAACTTAAGGCTTTGCTTTGTGACACGCTTGTTCTGTCATTATTCAATTTGTGCGACTCACTTTATGGGCCTTGTATAACAAGGTATGATTTTGATCGTATACAGCGTGTCCAAAACTCTTGTCTTAGGTTGATTTTGGAGTGAAACAATTTTAACATATTTCTTATAAGTTACTTGTAATAGGATGGCTAAATATGGAAACTAGGAGAAATCTGCACTCTGCAGTTTTGTTTCATAAAATTATTCTATACAAAACTCCGCCTTATTTATATAATAAGATTACATTTAGAAGTGACGTTCACAATATGAATGTTCGGTATCGATATTTCCCAACCACGTCATCGTACATCTATGTTTAACAGATGTTTTTCTCATTTTATCTACCACTTGTATAATCAGGTCCCCACAAACTTTAAGTTTATGTCTGTGTCAGCTTTTAAAAGAAGTTACAGAAAATTTCTATTAGATGAATTGTTCCTTTCCTTTTTATATTCTAAATGTTTTTTTTTTAAATCTGCCTAAAATGATTTGACATTTTTCGTTAAATTATATATTTTACATAAATTCTTTATATTCATATATTTTTCGACGTTTCTAATTATTAGTTATTAATTTTTAATATTAGCTTATATAATTTGGTTAAGAACTCCTCTGTTGTAATTTTATCGTCTGTTTACTAGTCCCGTTTGCTGGGAATTCATGTTGTTTCTTCATTTTTAATTTTTTCTATTTGTATTTTTTTTTGCTCTGCAAATAAACGCTATTATTATTATTATTATTATTATTATCATTATTATTACATCACATAGAAAATAGCTTGGGGAATCGTTTGTCTTGGTGCCTTCAGGATACAATTGCCAGATTCATATATTTCTTCATTCCATTTTATCTAGGTCCTTGAACTCGAGTGAGGTTCCTCAAAACTAATTTTGTTTTGCTTATTGTTGAATTATGCTTTGTTAAGCTTTTATATCGCTTTTTCAGTTGTTGACATATCAGCAATAAAATCTGGTGGAGATGCCAAGCCTAGGAAAGCAAAAATTGGTCAACTTATTCCCAATACACTAGTGCAGTTTGAGAAAGCAGAGAATTCATCTTTGAATTTAGTTGGAAAGTCAAAAGGGTAAGTATTTGATATCTAATTCATTTTAGATGAACAGATTTCAGTAGCAAAAGTAAACCAACAATTGTTTTCTATTTTTTTGTGAGCCTGGTAGTATAACTTATTTTTTTTTTTTCAGGAAAGTGGTTCGTCAGTCCATCATCAATCCTGACTGGGACTTCCAGAAGATGGGCATAGGTGGTTTAAGCAATGAATTCAATGCTATCTTCAGAAGAGCATTTGCCTCCAGGGTTTTTCCACCTGAAATTATTGAGCAGTTGAACTGCAAGCATGTTAAAGGTGACTACATATGTTACTTCCTTGAACATTACACATACCTTACAATCTGCATATTTATATCTTTCTTTTTCATCAAAGTGTAACGCCCCATTTGTATTTTTCTTTGCCTTATTGATGTTTACCTTAATGGCATTGATATTAAAGAATGGTTGACATGTACAATCACCATCTTAATCCAAGTTGAACATCTTTATAGGAATTCTGCTGTATGGTCCACCTGGCACTGGTAAAACACTGATGGCAAGACAGATTGGCAAAATGTTGAATGCTAGAGAACCAAAAATCGTGAATGGCCCCCAAATTTTGGACAAATATGTCGGCGAATCAGAAGCTAATGTTAGAAGGTTGTTTGCTGATGCAGAAGAAGAAGAAAAGAGGGTAAATAGAACATGTATGGAATATGATGTTGAAATACACGTTTAATGCCAAGTTTAAAAAATTATTTGTAATAACAGATGATACGAATATTTTAGTTTAGAGTATATGAATTTTTGGAATTTCAAGATGCAATATGCTATTGCAGGCAGGTCCAAACAGTGGTCTACACATAATAATTTTCGATGAAATCGACGCTATATGTAAACAAAGAGGATCCGTAGCAGGCAACACTGGAGTCCATGATACTGTAGTGAATCAACTGCTGTCAAAAATTGATGGCGTTGAACAGCTAAACAACATTCTAGTCATTGGTAGGTATGAAAAATAATAAAATTATGCAACTTAAAATGCTTGAGGAAGATATATACATATTTTGGTACAATGATGTCAGTTGAATAATTTGAGACTGAATACTAACAAATGTTTCGTTATGAGCTGTTTTGAGTATACTTACACGATCTTAAGTTATACAGCAGTTCACTGTATAATTTTCTATTTTTGTCGAGGTAAATACGATTTTTGGACCACAGTTGGTAGTGAGATTTTATTACCCAAGTAGGTTCTATATCATAAAAAGAAGAGCTAATCTGAAGTTATAGTAATTTTTTTATCCAGCCAGACAAAATGCTTCAGAAACAGTTATTTTTGGACCCGAAACATTTTCACTGCTGAGTGGTGTAACTTTCAAATACGAATTGAAATACTTTTTCGTTATTTTTTTCAAGGCATGACAAATAGGAAGGACATGATAGACGATGCTCTACTGAGACCTGGACGATTAGAAGTACAAGTTGAAATCAGCCTTCCTAATGAAGATGGTAGATTACAGATTCTAGAGATACACACTGCTAGAATGAAACAGTATAAGAAAATGGGCGCAGACGTAGACTTAAGGGTAAATAGAGTTCAATGGCTATGATAAATAACAGTTAAAATTGTTGTTTCTCAATATATACTCAGTGACATTAGAAGTGGTACACTCAGAAAAAATAATTTCAACTTGATATTCTGGCAATGAGGTAGTCTTACATCATGCATCTATGCGTCTTTGATATGACTTATATCTGGCATCCGCTAATAATTGATTGTACTCTAATATAAATTTATTATAGCATCGCTTATAAGAGTTGTCACTGTTGCTAATCACATATAGAACATCCATTCCTTAATATTAGTCTTTATACTCTCAGGATGATGCGAGTCAGTGAACCTATTCGTAACTTTAAATGTTTTCATAGGAAAGACCTGTTCAAAAATAGATTGGAAAATATTGCTGAAATAATTCCACTGTTCATTTACATCGTTCCGAGGTATATGAAACACATTTTGCCAGTCTACAGATTTGAGTCTACATAAAAATCTTTCTTTATTTTCTACAATTTTCTTCACTGGATTAGCAGGTTTATTCATGTTACCGTTATTTTTTGAGCAGTGTGGTCTGAGATTGATGAATTAATGACATTTGAGTTCAGGAGTGAACATAATAGCTGTTTGTTAGGGCTGTCGTATGAAAAATCTATATTGCAATCGCCAGCTATGATAATTGAGGCACTATCATCACGGATTTTTGAGAGAATTTGTTCCATTTTTTCTAAAAATACATGCATATTACCTGTATATTGACAATATTATAAAATTCATACCATTCAGAGAGCATTTCACATCCGCGCATTCAAAGGAACCAACCACTGATAATGACCTTATATCTGACCTTTCTAAACACTGAACTGCTAGGCTCATAAAACTTCCACCATGTTTCCCTTCTTTCCTGCAAAAACAAGATGCAAGTTTGAAGTTTCTAATTCCATAGTTGATGATCTGGTCTTGTCTCTTCCAGTGTTCTGTTATGCAAATAAATTTAAAGTCGTCGTGGTCCATCAACATCTGGTTTATCTCGTTTAATGAGTTTCCAAAAGACTGAACATTTTGATGGAGTAGGGCTATTTTGGCGAGGTTCTCCTTCTGTTTGGTAGTCTTATCTTTGGAGCAGCTTTCAGATCTTACTGTATCAATTGATACATTTATTATTGAAAATCCGGGGCATAGTTGATACTGTTCCTAAACCTGATAACTCTTGATTTATAAACAGGGCAGTTTGGATCACGAGCATAATGATTATGATCATAATATTTCATTTTTTGGCTATTCGCACATTGAAAGTTTACTATTTGACAATTTGCAGCTTCACGACTGCCGGAACATTTGCGATATCGGGTGGTGCTTGAAGTATCCAGTTTTCTTTGGCTGGATTACGAGATTACGACAATTCCTTTTTGTGATGATCTTTACTTTTTCTGCCACTGTACAATTCAATGTTCAGTCTTATAAGTTCTTGTATGAAGTCTTTAGCTTCGTAACCTTTTTCAATGCCAGTGATTATGAACATTGGATTCATTTTTCATTTTCTCTAATTTTTATATCTTTTTTATCTCTTAATATATTTTTTTTAGCTTTTGTTGTTGAGTTTTATTATAGCTTTCCACAACAACTGCCCCAGATTGTAACTGTGTAATACTTTTAAAGCCTCCATCAGTGTCCTTCAGCATTAATTCTTGTTTGAGTCTATGTACCACTATTTTCGGATTTTCTGTTTCCTCCATTCTTATAATCGTTTCGTGCTTCCTGTTTTCTGGTGGAGTTTCCCATAGTTCGTTTATTTTTTTCTTTGGTTCTTCAGAGAGACTTGCCGAGTTCGCCCTTACAATGCTTACATAACTTCTTAGTTCTGGTACTTGTGTCCTTACTGTTGCTTGGTTACCTGAATCTCAGTTGAGCTTACCGTTGCTCCACCAGACAGTTCATAGTGTCTTAGTTTTGTCTCTTCTACTTTAGCTGTTAATGCTAAATTTTCTTTTTCAAGCTGACTGACTTTATACACTACTCGAGTCAATGATTTATGTAGATTTATGCTTGCATACATAACAGATGTCTTATCTTGCATGCTAAATGGGTTTTTTGTCAGATCTTTATCAACAACTTTGTTTATACTGTCAATTTCCTCAAAAAAGTTCTGTATTAGTTCCTCATTCATGATACTCTGATATTGATAGCATTGCCGTTTACCAATGTTTTCCATTTCCCTAACTAGTATCATCATTTCCGCTCGTTTCTGTTCCGGCTCTCGGCTCCATTTAGGAGTGCGAAAAATTGACGATTTAGGCTTAAATACGTCAGCATCCTCAGGCTCATCATTTTTGTGATCCATAGGTTTAAGAGTGACACCCTGTTTATTTCTTCCATACTGGCCAGTGTATTCGTCGTTCACACAGTTTTTTGCTCCATCTCTTATCTCGGCCTGTTTTTTGCTCTGCTCCAATTCGCAGCCAAGGATAATTTTATTTATTTCATCTTTTTCTAGTGCAAGTCTACCGAGGGAACTGGTTCTACTCCTTTCCATCATCCTCTCTTCAATATCAAATTCCATTATTTTATCAGATGGAAATATACTAAGTGACATATAAATCCGAACACCCAGTTTAAATGGTTTTATTTTAATAAAAGTTGGTGAATGTATTTATCTTACTGTAAATAACAAGTGAAAAAATGTTCAGCCTTATCAGTTGGACATTCCGGTTTTTATACTGCTTTTTTTTAATTCACTAACGCTCTAAAAATGAATATTTCAGCCGCAGTAAAGAATCAACGTTGGCGGATTTTGGTTCTTGACATCCTTTACGATCGGTTACGATGCCTAGAGTACGGAGACCTGTACGATTTCGTCAACTTAGTGAGTTTGATAGGGGCCGTATAGTGGGACGCTGGACTTTCTTTTCGGGCAATTGCAGTTAGAGTGCAAAGAAGTGTAGACACTGTGGTTAGGTGTTGTCAGGCATGGCTTTGAGAAGGCCGTACGCAAAGAGCAAGGGGCACTGGACGCCGCCGTAGAACAACAGACCGTGAAGATCGCCGCCTAAGATTATTGGCCTTAAGGGACCGTTTCTCCACTACCAGGTCCATTGCAAATGAATGGTTTGCAGAACACGGAAGACCTATTGGCATGCGAAGTGTTTACCGACGAATGAGAAGTTTTGGCTTGTTTTCATACCGGCCACACTGGGTCCTCCCTTTAACTCGTAATCGCCTTGAGTGGTGCAGACAACGGTCAGTCTTGGATCAGGAATGGAACAGTATTGTCTTTAGTGACGAGTCTCGATTTTGTTTAGGCATGCACGATGGTCGTGCCAGGGTTAGAAGGCGACGTGGTGAAAGGAGGAATCCGCAGTTTTCTGTTTGGTTTGGGGTGCTATAGCAACATTCTCACTAATTGACAAGTAATATAAAATTCATAATTTGTTGGGAGACCCTGCAGCTGAATCCACTCCTGTATACGTCTAGACATCGACAAAATGAGATGATCGATGTCTGGTTGTGTCACTTCATTCCAAGCAACTCGAACTTCGTGGATTAGCTGTGTCGGATGGTGCAATAGTGAATAGTCTCCTCCCCATCATGTTCGATGGGGATTAAATCCACGGCAAAACATTAACGACTGCTTCTTGAAGAAAGTCCGTAGTACGACGAGCAATATGGGGACGTGAGGTGTCTTGCTGAAAAAGGACGTGTGGACGGCCGTCTCTAGATACGGCAGTAAAGTTATTTGTAGGACATCATCAACATAACGCGAAGTAGTCATATTGCCGTGAACGAAGAGAAGGGGTGATCGGCTACCATAGACAATAGTCTCCCAAATCATTACTCCAACAGTCGTGGGTACATGCCTGTCAACAGCAAATCCAATATCACGCTGTTCTCCACGGCAGCGTCTTACCCTTCTACGACCATCGTGCGCACCTAGACTGAATCGCGATTCGTCGCTGAAGATGACATTATGCCATTCTGCCTCCCAATGTTGCCGCTCTCTGCTCCAGTTGAGACGTTGACGACAGTGGTCCGCATTCAGAGGAGGCACTAACCGTGTACGGTATGAAAAAAGTCCAAAGGCGATAGAGTGTACGAATATTAACAGGTCTACCTTCTAGAAACTATTGGTCAGCGATCTGACGCGTAATAGCAAAACGGTCTCGTAGGGCTAGTTGCCTGAACCGCCTATCTTGACGCTGTATGGTACGCGTCGGTGGACCAGTTGGCCTTCTTCGTGTTCTTCTACCTTCTATCCGCACACGCATTACCGTCATTGCAGTACAATTAACACGGCGGCCAATTTTGTGATAGGACAAACCAACATTTCGATAGGCAATAATTCTACCCCTGTCAAAGTCGCTAACATGGTGATAATTTGGACGTCTCCGAACTCTAGGCATTTTGTTATGCTTAACACTAGTAAATGAAAGGGCAATAACTGAAAATATCTGTACTACTCAGCTCTCAAAAACTGCTTTCTTCACAAACACTAAGGTCCGTATCGTCAGTCGTCCCTACAATTGTAGGGTGCGTTTATGGCCTCCTTGATTGTCATACTCTTTTCTCTCCTTCAAAAATTTCTAGATTACACTCGACCCGTGTCAGCGTCAGCGCTATCCTATTGTTAAGATTTGTTTTCCTTTTAAATTATAGGAAATTTCAGGCTGATAAAACATGATATAACTCAAAAGCAAGCACAATTTGATGCAAATAGATGTTTGTGACATAACCTCAAAATAGAGCGCTGACACGGAGAAGTAGAAAACTATGACAATCAAGGAGGCCATAAAGGCGCCCTACAATTGTAGGGACGACTGACGATACGGGTCTAAGAGATAACATTTAAATAAACGTAAACAAAAATAAAGATAAAGCATTGACATTGTTGCCACAGCATGCTTTAAATATAGTCATTATGTTGCCAAAATAAGTTGAAGAAATTATTTTTTCTGGGTGTAACACTTATGTCACTGAATATATAATTAGTTTCTGAGCAACCTACTAATCAATTGATTCAACTTGACATAGTATTTCACGAAATATAGTCATACCAAGGATGCTTTATTTCCAGGAGCTGGCAGCACTAACAAAGAACTTTTCTGGAGCAGAATTGGAAGGTTTGGTGCGAGCAGCACAGTCAACAGCTATGAACAGGTTGATCAAAGCATCTAGTAAGGTAGAAGTGGATCCTGAAGCTATGGAGAAATTGCTAGTTGGTAGAGCTGATTTCTTGCATGCTCTGGAACACGATGTCAAACCAGCATTTGGCACAGCTCAAGAAATTATCAACCAGTTCTTATCCCGGGGTATTATTAACTGGGGATCGCCAGTCACTAATATCATTGAAGATGGAATGCTGTTTATCCAACAAGCCCGTGCTGCCGAGGGTTCAGGTAGTTTCAATTCAAAATCAAAATATTATCATAAAGTTGTTAAAAATTGGAATATTTCATAGTAAGTAACGAATCCGTAGATATAATAGATTCAGTTTTTTATTTGGATGCTCTTATTTCCAGGATTGGTTTCTGTGCTGCTTGAAGGCCCGCCCAATGCAGGCAAAACTGCGCTAGCTGCTCAACTTGCAAAAAATTCTGACTATCCATTTGTCAAAGTCTGTTCCCCAGAAGAAATGGTCGGATTCACTGAAACTGCCAAATGCTTGAGCATAAGAAAGGTATATTATATATACATATATATACATTTGGTGTTGCATCAGATGTTGAGAAGTACGTTTTAAGCAACCTAAATTGAAAAGAAAATGTTGAACCTTATCAAAATCGTTCTTTTCAGATATTTGATGACGCGTATAGGTCCACTCTAAGCTGTATTTTGGTAGATAATATTGAAAGACTACTGGATTATGGACCAATTGGCCCGAGATATTCGAATTTGACTCTCCAAGCGTTGCTTTTATTACTTAAAAAACAACCGCCTCCTGGTAAAAAGCTTCTGGTACTGTGCACATCGAGTAGAAGGTAAGAAATTTTCCTCATTATTTTTGCGGTCAACAACGTAACATGATCCCATTATGGATTTATTTATTTAATTACACCACCACCAGTTTACAAACCAATTACTGGTGGAAAGCATCGAAATACAGTACATACAATTTAATAGTCACTAAATAGTTACATCCACAGATATGCTTAGTAATTTTTCAGTAAGAATTCACGGAAAAAAATGCCATTGCTCTACACTTATTAAAACTGTGGTCTAAAACGACTGTCACTTTACATAGTCTCTTAATAATAGATAAAGATGTGTTGAACATATCAAAATAGCTCCTATAGGCATTATAACATTAGTGGTTAGGGCAGCAGATGATTCTTTTTTCTTTTGTGGGGTACGTAGGCCGGCTTGACCCTCGTTCTTACTATAGGTGTGTTGCAATTTAGCATAGCCAAAAATGAATCATGTTGGTAATTTGTCACGTGCCAAAATCACGTAACTTTTTTTTACTATTTTGATCACTTACTAGTAACTTGAATTCCTCTTTATTAATGGTAGAGTGCCCATTCCTAGGCCAAACCTTTTTCAATGATTTTCTTTTGGTAAATTTCATCGTTTATTGATTGTATAATTTCAGACGTATTATATCTTTCTTTCTCAGTGATTCAGTATTGTGTTGAAAAAAAAACCCTGATATGAACAGGTAAAATATCATTTTAATAAACTATTCTATAGATATTATTTATATGTTGATTATTGCTGACTGAAATTCTTAGAGTGCATTTGATTTTGTTTGTCATTTTATATGTTTAAATATGGGACAGTGCCTACATGGCACCTTCTATTGGGCATTACATTATGTTGATCATGATTTTGATTTTTGATATGCCATAAGTTTAGACGAGGGATAAATTTCTGGGGATATATCACTTTACTACATTTATATTTTATTACCTTTGCTTTACTTTTCTTGTAAAAAAAATGTACGTGGTTTTTCAAGTTTGAGTGTTTTCAATAAGTAGTTTTGTAACAGACAGAGAGTAGATAGTAGATTATTAAGCAGTCTTTCTCTCTCTAGGTTTTTTTTGTTATGCCATAAATTTTGGAAAACGATGCAAGCATGCGGAGAACCACCATACACTCCTACAGCTTTGGTTTGTAGCTGTTTTGATATTGCCGGAAGCCCTTTTCCCTTTGACAAATTTACAACTTTAAATAAAAAAACTAGATATTGTATCTTCCTTCTATGGCCATGCTTTTGAAGTAAGGTATTTTGTGATGTCCCTATGGGCGGATAAATCACCATGGGTTTTGAGAGAATTTCCTCTGAATTATTTCCAGTGACTCACATAAGTATCATACGATGGGTTCCAGATTATCCTTGCATATTCCAAGCTTAGAAAGAACAAACGAAATGTACAAAACTGTAGGTGCAGAATTTAATAAATGAATTAAATCAGAATTGAAGTTCAGTGTGTCCTGTATTACCCCCAGGCCACTGAACTCTAACGTCTGAAGAGGGGTGACAAAAAGTTTATTAGCATCACACCACTCTGTTAGCCAGTCAAGATTCCTTTGAATATAAAAGCAACTAGATGGATTATCAATTTGCCAGTAATGTTTTACGTCATCTGCGTAAAGTAGAATCTTAAAGTCAATAACATCTACAATATTTTCCTTAATGTCTCAAAAATCGAAATACTGAATGAACAATGTTCTTTTGTTATCCATAATTGTTAATCAATAGCTAACATACCACTTACTCGTACAAGCTAAAAGCAAATTAGTATCTGATGATAATATTTATATTATATTTTTATTTATAATTTTTTTTTGTTTCCAGACAAGTGCTTGAAGAAATGGAAATGCTCTCAGCATTCACAGCTGTCCTTCACGTCCCAAATTTGTCAAAAGCAGAGCATCTATTGAATGTCCTGGAAGCATCAGATGTTTTCTCGAATCAAGAATTGAAACAGATTGCTCATCAGGTTCATGGAAAGAGGTATTTGAGTACTTTTCACTATTATTCAAAAAGGTTATCTTATCCTATAGATCAAACTGTTCCTCTAATACTCCTATGAGGTCTGTAAATGAAGTGTGAGACTGTTTTTTTTCCATTTTTATTAAAATATAATTACAATTTTATATTGTCTCCATCAAAATCACTTTCTTTTGAAGCCACACAGTGCTGAAGATGGTACTCCGACTTCTCATAGCAGTAGTGGAACTCCGATACTGGAATAACCTTCAGCTGGTCGGTTACGATTGTTTGAACGTTTTCGACTGTCCCAAAATGAGTCCCTTGAGGTGATTTTTCAACTTCGGGAAGAAAAAAGTAACAACAACTCAAGTCAGGCGAATAAGGAGGCTGAGGAGCCACATGAATGTTTTTACTGGCCAAAAACTCGTTTATTCACATTGCTATGTGACAAGGTGCATTATCATGATGCAACACCCAGTTATTCTTGATCTGATGAACGGTGGTGTGAGTCAAATTTAACTCTTCCCGATCATTCTGACTATTAACCGATCTGAATGCACATGATCCCGGATTCTGTCGATATTTTCAACGGTTCTTGAAGATGAAGGCGATCCCACTTCGTGGATCATCTTCAATCGACTCTCCCTTCTGAAAATGCCTTAAACCACCGGAAAACCTGGGTTTTTGATAAAATGCCAGCTCTGTTGAAGTTTATCAAGAGTTTCCGTTGCACTGTGCCCAAGTCGGAAGCAAAACTTGATAGCACACGGTTGCTCGAAATTGATGTCATTTTTAGAACACAATAGAAAAATCGCTACGGACAACCAAATGACTTGAACGAGTTCAAACTTGTATTGAAGGCGGATCATATACTCCACTGTATCCCCTCCGAGCCCGGCGCCTCCAGTGCTGCCAGTCTCATCACTTAATTTACAGGCCCCGTATTATGCATCTTTATGTTCTAACTTAAACGCTATTTGGAACACTATACATTCAAACAAAAGTTGTAGGTTTCGAGGGAGCAAATTGATTTTGTCCTTGACAATGACCTTGATTACAACCGTCGAGATCTTTTCAAGGCCAAGTGAATTTTCTCAAATGGAACCCTCCTTTTTTCACATTGTAACTGACAAATTTTACCTCTGAATAGCACCTTGACCATGACCTTGACCATTGTATTCAAATTCATTTCAAGGTCAAAACGACATCAATAACAATTTGCTCTAGCAAAAATGGTCGACTTCATAGTCTAGGTTTGCGGTGACCTTGACCTCATTTTTATACTGGAAATGGAAAAAGCAAATAAAATTTAAGCTTGACTCGACTTTGACTATGGTACGACACCATTACTTGACTTGCAAAGATGTATTTCGTGTTTTGCTCACTTTTACATGAAGTCCCATAAAACCCATCAGAGCTCTCTGCTTTGATAATTCAAAAGATACAGTAACGGCGTCCTAGATGATTCCAGACAAAATCATAATCCAAGGTGATACAGTTCCTTAATCATTCTGCTTCTATGGTGTACATTAAAATATTCACAATTCATAGCTATTACTGAATCATTCAAAGTAAATTCTGTAAATACTCAAATATACAGGCTGCAACTTTTTTTTAGAAAAAGTGCATTTAAAGTTTTTGACCACACTGTTAATCAATTAGAATATTCAGAAAAATTAATAACGTAGACTTAAATTGGGGACAAAAACAAATTTTTTACGTCGAATCTATCATTGCATCTATCCTTGGGAAGATCTGGGCTGTCAAGATTCAGAGTCTTGCAAAATTCAATTTGTAATAGTACCCCAACTACAAGAAATAGGACGAAATGTGATAAAAAGAAGCGGCAAAAATTGCGATTTTTTTAAATTTCGCCAAACTGGATATTCCTATTATGCACGATATTATATTTGTGAAATACATCCAACAGAAACCTCTCAGTTACTTCAGGAAAATCCACCTCAAAACCGTAATTCGCCTGGGGTCAGTTCCTAGAGTCGTGATCACGTCACTTCTTTTCGTGTAGGAGTCGTGATTTAGAAATATCAGTTACTTAATCAAAGTTCGTGAAGTATCTGCCACAACTACTATACAGTATAGTTCGACCATACATTTCTACTCTTTGCTCCTATTAGAATAGGAAATTTACTCTCGAACTGTCGTAATGCGACTTTTTCAGTGTTTTAAAATATCTGACATGATCATTTTTTGGACTCTTAATACCAGCTGGAGGAGGGCTTTGGTGCTCCAGTCCCCCAGAATCCCAAGACCTATTACGTTTTTTTTCATACCATGCGTTCATTTACGATTGAGATCGGCCGAGTTTCAATGTGTACGAGAAAGTCTCTTTCTATCATACGTGTTGCTCGCGTTCAGTGTTGCCGAAAATCGGCAAGAAAATGAAAAACTTTATTGGGCGTACGCATTTTGTTATTACACGTAGACCTGGTATGTAAGTATAGGATTTCTATAAATATAAAAAAGAAATTAAAATTAAACTTTTTAAAAGTATATAGAATTCATTTTGTGACTTTATTTTTAGTCCGGCTCCTATTCTGGAAGAAATCGGTAGGTTCAAGAATACTGATCTAAATTATTATAAAAAATCGTCGAAAATTAGGACGTTTTCGGTACTTCGATAAATAGACTCATTTTGGTAAAAATACCGACAAATCGGAAGGTTCGGCAACACTGCCCGCGTCTCTCTCTCTCTCTTTCTCTTTATCTTTCCCTCTCGTACACATTGAAACCCAGTCGACCTCAACCGTAGATGATTCGCACGGTATAATACAACATTCTATAATACTATACGTAAAATGCCACCCCTCCCCTTAAGAGCAAACTGAGATTGACAACTAATATGTTTTTGATAACCTCCCCCTCTCCCCCCTCCGCTCTTAAATTGCCACAAGGGCATTAACTCTCAGAAGTATTTATGTAGCAGACCAGCCTCTCCCGTTACCACCGAGAGTACAAGGTCTGACAACAGACGCGTGACGTCACCAAGAGTAGGCCGGTCGGCCGGCCGACAGCACGGCGTGCCTTACAGCAGCGGCAGTGAATAATATATTATTGCAGCATATTTAATATACTTTACCTGATGTAAATAACAGATAATTCAGAAAATTGTTTTTGGTATATGAAGGCAACTTGGTTATTAACTATTTTCACCCGGATATTCACTGATATTTCATCCAACATTAGGTGCACACTAGACTAGATAAGTTGATGTTATAAAACCTTGCTAAAAACGATACATTCTTCAACGAATAACCCCATGTTAGTCACAACCGATCAACAAAATTTCACAGGAATATGTGGACAATTTACTATTATTATAGGTATAATATAATGGTACTTGAAAATTATATAAAAAATGTAGTGCTTGTAGAAGAGTTGTGTCCAGCAAGAGCCAACGAGAAGGGCTGAGGTAAGCTCTTGCCAGGAAAGGAATAAGGAAGATGAGGAGGAAAAAGTGTAGGATAAATGATAAGAAAAACAGATAAAATCAAAGTAAAATAAACAACAGAAAAAACATCACAAAGATTAACGAAAACTTAATAAAAACTCTTAGAACAAACAAATAACAGCACAAAATAATAACAAAAATTAGAAAACAGAAAACAATTATCAAAAATAACAAAAATTAGAATAGCGAAAATTAAAGTGCTAAATTCTGAATATGTACAAATAAACATTTATCTACAGCTATGTAAATGTTGCGGCCTCATGTGAATGTAGTCAATTTACGTTTCTTTGCTTTATTTGCGCTTGCAAAGATGTCGTTCCTTTTGGCACAATAATGTTTCAAAAATGTATTGACTGTGCAAATAACAATTAGTTTTATAACATAATCTGGTGAATGGACTGTGCAACGCGAATATGAAGTGTCGTGATTATTATCACTCAGATTGTTAATTATCTACTGAAAAAGAGCGCGTCTCTTATCAGTGATTTCTAAAAATGATTCCTCGTCACTTTCCAAAACTTTATTGAAAATTATATAACTTAGCATGACAATATTAATAACTGGATCCTCTACTCAAATTCTGTATGATATTGTGCTTGTCTTCTATATCAATATCAACTGAATGTGTCAAATATTCCTTACAATGATCGCAGTGATTTTTCTTTAATAAGGCATAACAACAGTAACCAGCTAAGTAGGTGATGACAGGGATTTCATCCTTTATACTATCCATATCAGACTGTACAATTTCAATTTCCCGGAAAAAGTGGTAATCATTAAAATTGTGTGGAATTTCATCTATTTCTAAATCATCATTTTCACAGAATTTATCTATTTGTATATCACCATAGCGAGACTTCAATGACATCAGGCTTTGAGTTCGTAACTTTTTCTCAGATTCATATAACTGACTATGCATTCGCAGAACATCATCCAAGTGGTGTATATTAGATAATAAAAATCGAGTTTTAATATTACCTGAGTTGAGTAACAATTCTTGGGAGTACATATACGTTTTTACATTGAGATCTTTACTAAAGACTGAGTTATGATGCTTGATGGTTTATATTCTAACTTAAACCAAGTAACTTTATCCTGAACAATTTTAAGCCACCCATATGGACATTGCCATGAACTGAAAACTGTGAGAAGGTCTGAATAATTTTGAAAACAAGTTGATTTTTGATAGGAGGAATAATCATCAATGCTAGTTTGCAGTGCTTTAAGTAGTTGTTCTTGATCCTTGTCCCTCAATTTCTCATATCGGCTTCTTCTGCTTGATTTGTCCTTTGATAGGTATTTTGGACAATTTACAAAGATACTTGGAATTACATCTGCCTTTAATTTTGGATACTTAAGGGGTACAGTAATGGTCCTACCTGCCTTTTCGTTATGGAAGGTGGATTCCCAAATGATGCTGTCCTCAGCAAAGTGCAAATTACATACTCGGGTGTATTTTGTAACCACTAAATCACTACGAGGGATTGCATTGAGCCATCTTTTACGTCAGTTTTCGTTCAATGGAAACGAAAATACGTGTACCTTCGGACCATTCTCGTAATTACCGACACAATTAGGAACGCAGCACTTGTAAGGCATTTTGAAAACTTAGCTAAACAATCGCGAGACACAAATATAAGTTTAAAACATCAATAATGTTCAGTTTACATAGCATAGAAAGATGAGGCTCAGAATGTGAGGTTAGTTGGCAAGGTTGCCACATATTCCAATTTTGAATGGATTATTAGACTTCACAAGTGACAGATTGAACGTAATATCGAAAATGTATTCTTGACATACTGAGGCAGATAAGAAAGAATAATCACATCACCACTGAAGCTGCACGGGCCCCGAGTACATCTTGCAAATTCGCCCACAGAGAGATACAACTAATTAGTACAGATTTCGATACTGCTATATCAAACCTAGATATGACCACACCCCAGAGAAATGGTGGCGCGGTTCTCTTGCCAGCCAGTCATCGCGAAACTCCATAAGAACATGCATAGGCCTACTCTGCGTGACGTCACAGGCTTTTCAAAGCCCAGTTGTTTGGCCTTGTACTCTTGGTGGTAACGCCTCTCGCCCGCCCTTTAATTTTCAAACGTTCATCCCGCCTCCCGAGGCGGACATCTTCCTGAACATGAATCCTGAGCTCCTCAGAAGCGTCTTCTGGATATGTCAGTGGGTTGACACCCTGATTAGGGTAAAGTTGTAAGGACTGAGTTCCAGCTCTCCGCGATATTTCTTACATGCATTCTCTATGGATGTATCCCATTCACAACTAGGCGATGAAGGCACTGACCAATTTACAAACGGTTATTAGGATCTTCATCGGAATCAAGAAACTCTTAGCGTTAATCGACATGGCCAGGCAGACAGACGAAAGGATCCGAGTGATCAAGTTTATCACAAAATTGGAAGAGGATGGAGCATTGGAAGACCCTGGAATGGCTTAAATAAAGAAATGACGTCGATTATATGGCAATATAATTACTTATTAGTAAGACATTTAGTCAATTCGTAACAGTGTTAGTCATACGTACTAGACTATTGATTAGTAGGATAACTTTGTTAGTGATCGTAATAATTCAACGCTAAATTTTGGAAGCCACAAGAGCGTGTTAGTTAAAGAGTGTAGGTGTTGAAACGTCGCAGTATGAATATTTTTGTGAAATTAATTTTGGTTGATATTCGACAATCGAGACATTAAAATGACCTTGTATTTTTGGTAAAAAAGGACTATTATCAGGCAAAATAGAGATCATAATGAAGTTATTGATACTTTCAATGGTGTATATTAATGTAAAGCGTAAATTATGCATTTAAAATATAATTTATCGAAAGTACTGTTATGTCTCGTCATTAATGCATTTGACATGAAGTTTTGAGGAGGAATATTCAGTTAAACTGTCAATTTTCTGGTACTAATCGATTTACAAATTTAGTATCTACTAAGTTTAAACCTCGCGGAACGTGTAGTTGGCGCCCCTAATATTGTATCCAAATTTCCCATACATGCAAGTTGGCTGTAACAACTTGTCCAAAATAAAGCGCCTGTATCGCATGTCCATCACAGATTGAGAGGGGCGATGGCAGGCCGCGCTGACGGAAATTATGGTATTAAACCATGCCTAAAATCTTTCTCGAGTTATCACTTAGTAAGTGCACAAATTTTTACGTATTTCCCAATTGTGGTTCAGGCGTGATGCTGGCAGACATTTAGCAAAGTTTGTTCTTATTTGGAGCATTCCAAGACAACTTCCTCATCCGACGATGGTCCAAAGATTCACCCCTCAGAATGTTTTCCAAAGAAAATTTGGTCTGGAAATTGATGATCCATTAGCTGTTCTACTGAATATTAATCCTTAAAGAAGTTATTTCCTGATAAGGGAAAATTACTATTATCATTAAAACTTTCCTATATGTTGTTTTTTAAAACAATATCTTTATTTTGCTTATTATTACGTTTGCGATTCCGCTTTAGTTGGTTTGTAAATATTGTAATTTTTTAGTGAAGATTTGGAGTTTAAAATGATGTTGAATGCTTCATTTTAATCAAGGAGAAATATATCGTTGCCCGTCTATTTCTTACAATGTGTAAGAAAAATATATTGTGTTATTTTCGATCAAAATCATTGCATCATCATCATTATAAATGATGTGAACAAAAAAGAATTAGGCAATGTTATGATTTAGTGTAATGTTTTAGTTTGTATGGTGAACAAAACTATCAGGATTCACGCTGTCATTTCCAAGTATCGACCATTCATATTCTAAATACGTAGCAGAAATATGTACAATGAAATATACTCATCTCCGATTGTATCATTTTATTGTATGTATTTTAAACATAGCGGCAGAAATATTTTTTGGCTAGAAAATAAAAGAAGAGAATTTTTGATGCTAGCTGAAAGCATTCCAGTTATTTTTATAATGTAATCCTGTATTTATTTTAATTCCATGTATTTATATTAAAAATACCTGAAACGAAAGGTATGGTGGATTTTTGTAACTGTTAATATAGCAGGACACAAGATATGTAAATCGTCACATAAGCTGATTAGTTCCGAAATAGAATAGAAATGTATCTTTTTACAAAATCTGCTATATTTTTGGTTATTATTCAATCAACTAAAAACTAGAGGTAAATGTTGGAAATTTAGTTTAACATGTTTCTCTATTGTCGAACTTATAACTACTGTGGCAAGATATAGTATCACATGCTTAAGGACCTACTAAAAGCTTGAAGAGGGAAAAAATCGATTTTTACTGGAAAATATTATGCTACTGATATTCCACAAAGTTTATCGCAGTCTTTTTCCTTGAGAAATATTTGCCAGAGGAGTACTTTTGAAAATTTTAATATGCAAAATGGGTAATTTTTCCTGTTCACATTCAGTCTGACATTCAAGTCATATCAATGTTATCTTAATATTTTAAATCTGATTGCTTCTGTAAAGACATAGACATCGAGTGGCTCAGCTTATTTTTGCGCATAAAAGGTATTATTTTAAACCTTGTTTCTAGTTGATTGGAATTCGAATCTATAAATATGTATGTATGACAAAGAAGATGTAAACAGTTATAAATATTATTTTATTTTTTTGAAAATATAGTTCATAAAAATGTGATAATGTACATTCGTATTTATATTATATATTTTGTGTTGTATAATTCTATAATTTCTTTTAGAAGTATTACATTCTGTATTGCCATTGCATAGTCGCCTCCCTAGGTTTGTTGGTAGATATGTCAATATTCATATCATGATACTTAATTTTATCTAGCTATGCCAGTGATGCTCTGCCTGAAATCATATGTGACCATGTTAGAAGACTCCAAATTGGTAATAAGCTTGTGAAGAAGTGAAATTGATTTGTATATGGTTACAGTCGGACGTTCACAAATGAGAACCTATTCACATAAAACTTACACTTAGGTACAGAAAATAACAAGATGTCAATCAATTAATAAATAATCTAACAGCAAACCATTTACTGTAGATATAGGCTAGAGGCACTGGTACTATATTAATATTAAGATTTCTTTAAACTGTCTTACATGCAGAGTGGCTAAATTTAGTCTTCACACTCCAGTAATTTAAATACCTGAATAACTACAAGGAAAATATTTCAGATACAAAATAGTGTAAATTGACCTAAACCTTGAACTTGAAGTGAAATAAGGAAACTCTCAAACCGAGCTAACAGATTGCCTTTTAAGGTGACACGTCCCTTTTTTAGATTTCTTTTCAACTTCCTGTTTGCAGCAGTATTCTAAATACTTTTTATCTGATGATTTCATGGTGTGTATAGAGATGACTAAAAAACAATGTTTTTTTTTGTAGAAAAACGCATTTTTGTGCATTTTATTGCGCATTCTTTCTTCAATCGGAACTTGTTAACAAATATACATAAGTACAGCTCTGAAATTGTGTGAATATTCCTTTTTTATGGAAGAATGAAACGAGTGATTACTTTTGTTCTTATCACTTTTCCTTTTGGAAAAATCTTTGATTTGCTTGAAGCCTCATCTCGCAGCAAGTTGAGTTTTCAAGAAAAACAAAGCTTTTTGGAAAAAGAAAAGTGATAAGAACAAAAGTAATCACTCGTTTCATTCTTCCATAAAAGAATATTCACACACAATTTCAGAGCTGTAATTATATTTGTTAACAAGATTGAAGAAAAAATGCACAAAAAAATGCATTTTCTGCAAAAAAAATGAAAACATTGTTTTTAGTCATCTTTATACCACCATTGAATTATCAGATGAAAAGGATTTAAAATATTACTGTAAACAGGAAGTTGAAAAAAAATCTAAAAATAAAGGACGTGCCACCTTAAAGGTGGTCCAGAATAAGACGGCTAAATCTGGGATGCATATACAGGATAAGAAAATAATTCCAGAAGTTGTAGAAACGTTCTGCGGAGCTTCCCTACCGAGTTAGTCTCCTAAAGGGTTACAGTAGACATTGTTTTTCTTTGAAGGACTTTTGAACGGCACTGCTTAATGCAACGAAATTTGCCGTAATGGAGGTTTGCTAATTTTTTCAGCAGCCTGTAAAACGACCTCATGCATCCTGAAATGATATCTGGTTAATACCAATGTAAGTATTTGAGTACCAAGAATAATTTAGGTCACAATCTTTTTCTGCATTTATGCTGTAAATTATTGGTAGCTGCTTATGATAGATCCGTTTTATTTGTTCACTTAATCATGTTTCGTTTTGTAATAGCATAAAGTTATGTATATGTATATCAACGCTAGGTTTTTGATGTTAGATGTGTACAGTGTTGAGCTTGAAACTGTTAAAGCGGTTTAAATATATTGAAAAATTTAAAATAAAGAAGTCAGGAATAACGAGAGTTGTTTTTTAGAAACCCAACTGCCGGACCCTTTTGCACTTCTACACTTGCTTGGTTTCAAGAGCCCCCATCCTTGCAAAGTGAAGCATGACCTACAGTACTACTATATTAACGATCTGCAGATCCAAAAAGTTGGATTCCAATTCTGCTGACCTGCGACATAATCTGTGCCGAGACTTACACACGCGGGATCTCAACTTGTTGTAACGCATCTGCTCTGAAAAATATCCTAATTCTGATTTTTTGCAATATTCTCAGAGGACCCATTTTAACGAATTTGCATGTTTCAATGTCCAAAATCGCGTCAAAAATTATTTGAAATTAGTTTTTTAAACCAATACCAAAAATTGGTTTTCTTGCTATGATCCACGTGCTTAGAGTTTTTTTTTCTCTAAAGATGAAGATATAAGCGATTTAAAATATTTTAAAAAGCTTAACTTTCGCAATTTTCGAGCCCGAAAAACAATATACAAAAACAAAAATTTGCCGAGTTCTTCAGACATGGCCGAAAACCGAGGCAAAAGGTTTTCGCACTTGTTGCTAATGCGATGATAATTTCACGCAGCTACTTGAAATTCTTCAAATCGGTAGGCTTCATACCTCTAAATGACAACAAAATTGGAGTCGATTGGTCAAGTAGTTTTTGAGAATTATTTAACCCAAAACACCTGTCTTCCGGCCATCACTACTAGTTTACTGAACAATATTCAGAGTTCGTTCAAGGGGTATTTTATAGCAAAATACACGATTTTTCCTTTCCGACGAATGAAGGGTTACGTTTTTTTCTTATAAATAAATTCGAACATTTCGTATTCGTGAGTAACTGAACATACTAGCTACGATATTCGAAAAACATACGTTATTATGCACATCTTAAAACAAAGTGGATTTGTCTACCACCTTTTAGCCTTAAAGTTTATAAAAAAGAATATTCCATACTGAAAGAGTTTCATTCGTAACAAAAGGTGATTGTTTATCCCAAAAACGCCTGTTTTCCGGCCATAACTACTAGTTTATTGAGCAATATACAGGGTTAGTTCAAAGGGCATTTTATAGCAAATTACACTAGTTTACCTTGTCGACATGAATCGCAAACCAATCCGGAAGATATATGTTATTTTTATGCAAAAAAGAACGGGTTACATTTTTTCTTCTAAACAAATTCAAAGATTTCGTATTTGTGAGTAATTCGCAACAAAAGATGATCCGCTTTGTTTTAAAATGTGTTTAATAATGTATGTTTTTCGAATATCGTAGCGAATATGTTCAGTTACTCACATATGAAATGTTTGAATTTGTTTATAAGAAAAAACGTAACCCCTCGTTTTTCCTAAAAAAATAACAGTTAGCTTTGGGAATGGTTTGTGATTGACGCGGCAAGTTGAATTCGTGTATTTTGGTATAAAATGCCTTTTGAAATTGTGGTTGTTCAGAGGTATGAAGCCTACGGATTTGAAGAATTTCAAGTAGCTGCGTGAAATTATAGTCGCATCAGAAAGCCGAAACCTCCATTTTGCCTTGGTTTTCGGCAATAACTTTTTTACTATTAGTCGGATCTTTTGAAGAGTTTTTCCGTTCCTGCCAAGACTTTCGACTGAATCCCAAAAAACGGTCCTGTCATTCTTTGTTCTCGAATCAACAGTTTTCCCACAAAAATTGGTGTACAGCTTTTATGCGTCTATGTTTTAAATACCCGCTTGAACAACTTGCATCAATAAAACCCGAGTTCACAATTATTTCGGCATAATTTGCTAATATGATTAGACTAATCGGCACGTTTGCGTTTGTGAAGATTTGATGAGTCTTGACAAGCGTACGGACGGCCCATTATATTCATGGTCAGGGGCGTAGCATATAGGTTCTAAATTTGGAGGACGCATGTTTTCGACGATTGAAAGAAAATGTCCAATGAAAAATTTTACGGAATAAGTTTCAAAACATCTCTTGAGATACTGACTTATGGTGATTATTCCTATTCACAGATAGTTTCAATTGCCATGAACTCTGTTTAAATGAGCAAAAGACCTTTTTTCCTAGATAACTGGAGTACCGGGTAAGGAGAGGGTTGATCACCTGGCCAGAAGCTTTTGCATCGGTCGCGTGCCTAGGTTAGGTACAAACAAGCGTCAGGTCAACGTCGCTGTGAGTGTTACGAGGATATATAGGGACCAGGTAACAGTGTGGTTCGGTGGGGGCCCTCGCTGGCCACTGTAGACTGGACAGTTACTTGTCCCTGCTGAAGATGAAATAGATCCTATGTGCTTCACGTGCATGGGGGAGGGTGAGACAGCGTTCCACTTTAGAGACGTTTGCCCTGCATATCACAGTCAACAACGTGAAATATTTCGAGTCATGGATTTGGATAGTTGAATAGCATGCTCAGCGGACATCTTGACTTTCATTAGAAAAGTTGGAGGTTATTTTTTGAAATCAGTTAGCAGCAATGCAACTATATTCCTGCACACTGGTAGAACAGAGAGAATTAAAAGTTATCATAGCTACAAAGCCATGGTTCCATCATTAAAAAAAAAAATCCTGAAAAAAAAAACATTTCTCCCATGAATATATGAAAGGTTTCTTATTTAAACTTTCCATACACAGTTGTAGACGAAATAGCACCGATTATTAAGTGATAATAAAAATAATCAGAGATCATATACGCGCTTTTCTAAAATAAACAACTTGCAACAAAACCGCAGTTAAAACCAACGCGTTCAAGCGATTCCTGCAACTGACGTCATCAACCCGTGTGTCATCTTGAACCATATTATAACCGCGGCACATAACACAGAAATTTTGGTTATTCGCTTGGATTTGATTACTGTTTTTCCGAAAATGGATGTATTCACAAGCTTATTTGATAAACGTCAACAGCTGTCAGAATTTGGAATCGCTCTCTAGGCAGCATACTCTTCTACTGCGCCCAAGAATTGACCCCACGTAAGTTCGCTAAAACTAGTAGGTAGGTGTGCAAGTATTTGGTACATACCGGGTCTGCAAAAGCGGCCAAAGGCATAGTTGCCAGACTTTGCCTTTCTACCACTATTACTACCTCTAGGGCTTAGGTGTGAGTGAGTATTGGCGGATGGTAAGCCAATAAATATATTGCCCTAGACCATTGATTCCCAAAGTGGTCTATATCGACCCCTAGGGGTCTATGACAACCTGCAAGGGGTCTACGTCAGCGAAAAAAAATTTGGGGGACCATGAAATGAATATGGGAGTCCACGATAGTGGATCTCAACACATACACTGATAGTACCTATTTACTTACATCATACTATCTTATAATATCAAAACATACATTATTTATAAAAGTACCTATGAAGTAAAAAAATTATTATATATGTTTATAAAATTGTGTAAGTTGTAGGATGTTGGTATTCGCTTTGTGGTCGCAATACATTTTGAACTTGTAAAAACCTGAGAGTCGCAGTCTCAGAGCTTCGCTACCTTGCACTGACTTGTTCAATTCGTCACTCTATAAATACGAATCTGGGACAAATACGTTTATTCGTTACCTGAATCTTGAAAAGGAAAGTGCTAAGAAAATATTTTAAAAATATAAACAGATAGTATATCACACAAATTATAGTGAGTCAGTGTTATTTTGTTTGAGAGTGCTGGAGAAAAGTAAGTACTTTATTTTTTATTAAATTTTAGTTTTGTACTCGTAGTTAGCAAAGATAGATAAATTACGCCAATCATGGCTTTAGTTATTAGTAGTTAAATATTCAATTATGCAAAATTACACGAGTACTCCTCAATAGCTTCTTTTTGAAAGTTTTAGCAATCGGTAAGATAATTACAGTGCAATCTCCGTAATTCGAGCTAATTTGTTGCAAGAAGATGTTCGAATTATGGAATGTTTTCGGAAAAATCAAAAAATATTTTTAATATACAGCTGCTGGATTTTCTGTCTTATTTAAATAATTTAATTTTGCCCACAGATGACTGATGCCATGTCCGAATCTAAAAAGAAATGTAGATAGTACAGTGTTGATTATTTGAAATTTGGCTTCATTCCATCATTGCCGGACAAACAATCGCCTATGTGCCTTTTATGCAACAAAGTTTTGGGCAATGATACTATGAAACCATCTAAACTGCAAGATCATCTGAGAAGGTGCGACCCTGATAAAACAGAGAAAGATTTGAAATACTTTCAAACACTCAAAGATACATTTCAGAAGAGACCTACACTGGACAGAATGTTCGCTTCGACGTCACAAAGAAATGATGATGGTTTGCGGGCGTCTTACAATATCTCGTTACTTATAGCAAAATCCGGAAAACCGCATACTATCGGAGAGAAGTTAATTTTGCCAGCCGTTGAAGAGGTTTTAAAAACTGTTTTACACAAACCTGCATCTGATATCATTAAAAGAATTCCCTTAAGCAACAATACTGTTGAAAGACGTATTGATGAAGTGAGTTCTGATATTGAAAGCTTCTTATGTAATTATTTGCAAACGACCCATTTCTCTATACAACTGGACTAGTCAACTTTACCTGATAATGCAGCATTATTATTGGCATATGTACGTTTTATTATGAATCAAGAAATCTACGAAGAACTGCTCTTCGCAAGAACTTTGATAACCGACACTAAAGGTGAATCAATATTTTATGTTTTGAAGGATTACTTCATTGAACAAGCAATTCCTTTATCAAATATAATATCAGTAGCTACAGATGGAGCACCTGCCATGGTTGGACGTTATCGTATACTTATAAGCTATTTAAAACTAAGTCAGGGGTGTTAGCAATACATTGCGTCATCCATCGACAACATTTAGTTGCTAAAAATTTGAGTGTTAGATTGCATTAATCACTTCATTTAGTCATTGATGCAGTAAACCGAATCCGAAGCAACGCGTTGAATACGCGGTAATTTGCGCAGTTGTGTGAAGAAAATGACGAACACTTTCATCAATTACTCCTTCACACTGAAGTACGCTGGCTGTCGAAAGGCTTATGTTTGACAAGATTTTTTGCACTTTTTGAGACTATTTTAGAATTTCTGGATACTAAAGATAAAATTTTAAAAGAAAATTTAATGAAGAGAAAAACAGACATCGCCTATTTAACAGATTTGTTTACAAATTTAATATGGTTAATTTGCAATTACAAGGCGACAGTTTAAATTTGATTAAAACAAAGTCCATCTTATCAGCGTTTCTTGCCAGAGTTAAACTAATGAAGCAAAATATTGGACGGGGCAAATGTTCTCAGTTCCCCAATTTGTCACAGACAAGCTGGACAAGGAAGACGACGTTTCAACTTACGTTCAACATTTAAATGCCCTCTATTCAGATTTTGAATATAGGTTTGAGGATATTTTGACTATGGTAATACCACCGTGGATAATTAATCCATATCGTGACATAGAAGAAACGAATGTCATACAAGAGGAACTGACTGAACTACGTACAAACGAAGAACTTAAGGTTCAGTTTAAAAACGGATATCAGAAATTCTGGCTGCAAAACAACATACCCGTTAGTTATCCCGTATTATGGAATATAGCGAGGAAATGTTTAATTTTCTTTCCATCGTTATACCTAGTGGAAAGGGGGTTCAGCGCTGTTACCAATCTCCTAACGAAAAAAAAGAAACAGACTGGACATCATTAGCCGAGGACATTTAAGATTGACCCTTACAAAATTGACGCCAAATGTTGATAATTTATTATTAAAGCATCAGGTTCATCCTTCTCACTAAAAATATTGACTTATTGCTTATGTTATTTTATTTATAGTTTATTTTATGTTTATTGGTGTCTGACCAATAAATGCCCGCATTGGGAATAAGTGCCTGCATTAATTTTTTTAAAGAACCCCCCTTTATAGAAAATATTTTTTTTTAAATTATTCTGAAAATTCAAGGACACACTAAAATTCGTTGATTTTTTGCCTATTTTTAGATAACTTAGACGTATAAGAAGCGGAATTTAATCAAACTAATAGTGAAATTATTGTAGAACATACGTTTATGTTACAATTAATAAACGAACTCGCTTATTGTACTATTTTGAGTAAAAAACTTTTTTATTTTCCACTTTTTTTTTATTTTATCCCTCTTATTTTTTTTTCAATGTGGGCACTTATTCCCAATGCGGGCAATTATTGGTCAAACACCTGTTTATTTAATGTTACGTATATTTTACATAACAGATACAAAATTTTATTTTGAGTAGTTTTAATTTAAATTCAATTAATAAATGTATAAATTAACATGTGTTTTTACTTTAAGTTTTTAACACTAAACTTCACTACAGTTAGAAATTTACAGGAAATCAATATCAGGTAAGTAGGGGGTCTACCCAACACGGAAAAACATGGCAAGGGGTCTACGACACAAAAAAGTTTGGGGAACTCTGCCCTAGACCCTCGACAAATAGGCATATAGTGAACCGTGGAAGCCATGAAGGTAAAAATAGGATTGCAACCAGCTTATAAGTGGTCAGCCGTAGCCCTCACTGTGAAACGGGTTAGACCTTAAAATTTGCATATTTAGCATAATTTTCTATACAATTTTTAGGATTTGTTAGAAAGTGACTACTCCCAGAGCAAGCTCAAAAAATGCTCAGAATTACTACTTTTTCAAACAAACAAAAATCTCCAAATCACAGTTAATTGATGAAAAAGGGTAGGTTTGGTTCAAAGAACTGAGAGATGCCTTCTATCCGCGAAACGTGTGATTTCCCCCAGAACATTATATCCCCAAGTAAAAATCCTCCAAATTTGGGGCAAAATCCCATAACATGAGAACCCTGTCGAAGCGCCACTGGTACTACAATAGTCAAGTTTTGGAGACGAACAGCATTGCCGTACTTTCTCCTGGTATACAAGTATAGGCTTCATGAGCCGGCCTATACTTTTTTCACGGTTTTTGGTGGTTCTCTTCCTGCTTCTCACACCACTACTGCCTGCTAGGTACTAACTGCCAAGAGGGCTTACCTATCTAGCATCTATTTCAAAATGAGAGAGAGAGAGAGAGAGAGCAGTATAAATGCTCATTATACATGCAGATCCCCAATGAGGCGAGGAAAATAAAGACATGATTTCCTCCATTATGCCTAATGGTATAACATTTAGATATTTTTTGGGTCACATGAAAGGGCTTGCAATTACAGCGGAAATCAATTGGGTAAACTGTAAACCATTGGATAATATCTAATTATTATATATTAACGTATTTAAGGATTATAATTAAATAACACAATAGAAACTGGATAGTTTACTATACACCTAAACAAACTAAAATGTTTAGAATACTAATGTATTTTAATAAGTATTATGTAATAATACCTACTCAATATAAATCAGAATAATTAGATAGGTAACTATATAATAACTATCTAAAAAACTAAACCAATGATAGTATATGATATGAGCAATGCACATATAAATGTTTGTACATTTTGGTTCATTTACATAGTAAGTGGGAATACTGATTCATAGTGACTAGTTTTCAGTTTCCCAGTCTAGTGGCTCTCATGAGCTATCGTCTTTAATTGATATAAGCAAAGGTTGTATCGCTGTATCAGTGATGTGATCGAGATCCCACCTCTTCTGTTCTTCTGTCACAACGTGTTCCACAAACTTTCGCCATTCTTCTGGAGTTAATTTCATGCACTGCTTTTCTAAAAGAGCCTCTTCGTCCTCCATTTTGTATGTGGTGTTTCTCTTAGCTACGGAAACTTTCCACTTGAGCCCACACCAATTCAATGGGATTGAGTTCGCAGTGATAAGGCGGTAAACGAAGAATAATGATCCCGTTTTATTCAGCAGTGTCTTCAATAACTGATTTATAAATTTAAGTTTTTGGAGGTTCTCTTCCGCCAGTAGCTATTTCTTCAATTCCGTTATGTTTATCCTACAACCACTTGACAACGTCATCTTTCAACCAAGATGTGGTAGGTTTCTTTATTCTTCTGGAGTGGTTTTGTCCATTTTACTACGACTGATCCTGGCGGAATGAACTTCACCATTTGTTCGAAATATTCTTCAAAAACATCAGTCATGTCTTCATAATGATCACCGGTGAGATTAGATTTGAATGTTAATAGGCCTTGTTCTAATAGGAAACTTTCTTCGTTGCCAGTATGCGTATAATAATCAATCTCCATGTAATAATAAATCTGCGGCACTTGCCACTTAGTTATTGTTTCATTCCAGTCGATAAACCGGCTAAATGAGCTTGCCGAACTCTTGATATTTTTGTCGTACTACATTTTGGTTACTCTATAACGTTAATTTAGCCAGTTTCGTCCATTTTCCTTTGATCTTTGCAATCTGTCATATGCTTCTTGGATAGTTTCTCCTCCAACAAACTATACCATCACTTTCTATTAAAATGGATTCTCTATTTTGCTTCTCGCAAGAAAAATGCATATCTCTCAGCGTCAACAACATGTTTATACTAATAGTTGGTAAATCTTCATCACTTTTAAGAGACACTAACAGTTTATCTAATGTGGATATTTGTTGAAAAAAACGTGTGCACTTTTCTTCTTATTGCCTGTATCGTACCTTCGTCTATAGTTTTCTTTGCTCTTCCGGGTGATGCTTGTGGTGGTTTTTCTTCAACTTCGCATTTTCTTTCGCGGAGCAATCTATATATGGTAGATTTCCCAATACCTATCATATTTGAATATTGCTCCATATTGTCGTCAATACATTGAGATCAATAACTTAATCATTTAAGGATAAAGTGCATCAGTGCTTTATTCTCTTTGGCGGATGAAACAGCTGAGGTGCTTACCATTTCCAAATTCAATGTCACAGCATCACTAATAACTGCCATAATTTGTGCGCTCTTCAGACAACTAGGAATTTGTATTAAAGTGACAGGTATAAGGTAGGTCCTAATGCAAATCAAATCACTCTACCTTCATGAATAATTAGGGTAGGTACCTGCTAAATACCTCTATAAATGATTGAATTGTGAGCCATTTTTGTCAAAACCATAATCAGGTAGGTATTCTTGGACAAATATTTTCAGAGAAGGTATATCTAGATTATAAAAACATATGAAATCATACCAATAACTGCCTATTATCGAAGATATTTATAGCAGGTATAATTACCTTTGATATTATGTAGTAAGTTAGTAGACAAAAATATAAAAATTATTATATAAAATACTAATAAGAGTAATAAATAATAATCTGATGATTTATTACTCTCTCTCCCTCTGTCTCCCATTTTGAAATAGAGTTGTAGGTATACAGTGAAATCCATTTATTTTTTCGGTCTTGTCCTTCATAGCAACACGTATGTTAGAAAGGGGGCGCCCTATTTAATCATCGTCGCCAAATTACCTGGCAACAGTTACAGCGCGCCCCGCGTGCTGCCCCACTGTCATTGCCAGGCAACGTCGTGACGACGCTTAAAGTGCGCACTATTTCTAAGATACATATTGGATGTTGTTGCATGCTTCTCTCTCATACACATTGAAAGCCAAGACCAAAAAGGTGAATGAATTTCACTGCATATCTTTTATAACTCGGATGTTGTATTGGTCTTATGAGGGATGCTGCAAGTCCTTGATAGTTTTTTGATATTTGACTCTTATTTATGAAAACTGATACTTCCTCTGTGACGAGAGACATGGAGGTTTATCACTGGTTGGGGACGCAACAATCTTGTACAGTTTAATGCTTCCAAAACGGAATACTGTACCTTGACGAACAAAAAGCGTCCTAGCGCTCATCCGGTTTCGATGGATGGCCGAGCTCTGACAAAAACCGTGCATTTCGGCTGGTCGGAGTCCAGATCACCAAGGACTTGATCTGGAACGAACACATCTCGTCAAATAACAGGAGCTGCTGGGAAAAAGCTAGGCTATTTGCTTAGGGTTAAGAAGTACTTTTCCCCACATCACCTCTCTATAAAAAAGGCACAGATAAGACCTAGCTTCGAGTGTTGCTCACACGTTTGGGGTGCTGCCAACCCGACTACATTATCCGTGTCGAACTTCGTACATTCGGAACTAGCCGATACGACCGCTCCTTTGTACCTAGGGTGTCGAGATTCTGGAACGATCTACAATAGGAGGCTTTTTTCAGTTCTACTAACCTTAGGCAGTTCAAAAATCGATTAAACAAAGATTTGTTTCTTTGGGATCCTAATAGCAGCCGCGGTGCCCTGGCATTTAGGTTACTGCCTGCGCGACTACTTCGGTAAAAAAAACGTCACATAAGACGCCGTAGACGCGCTTAGTAAAGTTAAACAGAGTTTGCCAAACTGTATGATAAATGAGCAAATAGATAGGCACGATTGTGCAACTGTGTCGTCTCCTAAAAGTGCTAATAAACTTCTATCCATTCCTTTTTATTGGTGATGACTACGTGTATTTCCCAGAATTCGTCGTTTTCATTTTGTTCTGTTGAAGTAACGTTTCGCTGCTATTACATAATGTTATGCCCCTCTTGCCACGCCTCTGCGTCAATCATTGAATGATCCATCTGCGGGATCCTCAACGTGCGAAATGTGGATATGTAAAAGTGAAATAAAAATGTCCGAAGGTCATCTTTGTTACTCTCGTGGAGTCAGTGCCTGCGAATTATGCGGATGTTAGGAAGTTCTTTGCCCGTCATTAGCTGCATATTTTATAAAATAAGACAATATATCTGACAGGTGTGGTATGGTCCGGGGCATGGGTCTGCGTACGTGAGAAGCAAAAGCGGCAAATGGAAATGCCGCATCCCGCGCGCTGCTTGTGTCTGTGACGACACGCGGCGGCAAATCGCAGGTAGACACAGGCGTGTCAAATCTCCATCTCCGCAAAACTCATTACCGAATTTCGCGAAACTTGGCTGTTTTGGGAAATATGTTGATGATCGTTTTCCTTGCATTCGCCCTTATTCGAAAAGAGATGGCCAATTATCCGAAAAATAATTTCAATCCTTATAGGAGTTTGTTCGCAGCGCGCGCAACTTGAGCGATATGCTGCGCGGCGTTGCCGACCCTAGCAAGGGGATTTTGCAGATACGTCGTTAGCACAGTTCAGCTACTTGCGTGAGTAGAATGGGTTATGCTGTAAATTAGTGGCATTTGCAATTAAAAGGCTTAGCAAGCGTTACGATCGATTTTAAATTGATCCTGAGATTTTGTATCGTATACTGTGATAATCGATGAACCCAAGAATAGCAATAGTTTTATGCAAGGCCGAGCATTGACACTCAAACTTGACAGAAAATTCAGATCACACTGCACAAGGCCCAGATACTTTCTTCCTATAGCGATATGCTGGAAGGTCTTTGCTCCTCTGAGCTCTTATGTCCTCATCCGCTGCTTTTTTATTGTTTTCATCTAGATCTGCCGGGCTCCTGCTTCTCATATTCGAACAACTCGGTTGAGCTTTCAACATCGACAACTGGCTATATTTGTTCTACTAACCTTGGGCAGCTCAAAAATCAGGACAATAAATTCTATCTAGATTTAAAGCTGATACTATTCGCTGGCAGCGCAATGATAGCGCTTACGAGTACTAGTGGATATGATCGACGAAGATATTTATTTGTGCTTGATACGAGATATATAAAAATAAAGGGATTTTCATGAAAATCACACATTTAGTCGATTTGAGGTTAGGAACAAATTTGAATTGAAAATGAAAGAATTTCACTATAGATATCACGTCTAATCCTACTATATCTGTTCGATCGTATTTTCATTTTGTCTACCGCGGTAGTTTCCCCCATTATGTACTTCGCTCATGGCGAAGAAAAGTCCTAAACAACAGGATAAAGTAATTCAGTCTGTGTGTGAAATTACGAGGGACTCAATTATATATTGCCAAAAATTGTGATCGAGCACAAAATAAGTCAGACTTAGAGGAAATAAGTAAACATGTTTCTGTCTTCGGTATAATGTGAATTCATTATTTAAAGCCAATGAAATGGCAGACACCACAGAATCATCAGAAGCAATTACTCGAGTTGGAATTATCTTTGATTTTCGGTCGCACTTCAAGCAATTAGAACTAGATAATAATGCTTTCATGAGATTCCACTAAAACATTAAATAACAATACTACTACAAACTCGGAATCACTTTTATTTGAAACGCCCTCACTCATACTGTCCATCGGAAAACATAGTGCAAAATTAATGAGCATCAAGGTGTTTAATACAATACCTTCAGTATCAGTGATATGTATTTTATGAGCGCGTTCTTCTTCTAGTCCTATATGTATTTCGTGTGTATTTTAATGTTTTTATTGACTTATTGTCTATAATATGATTTTTTTGTACGATATATGTACAATATTTATTGTTTTTTTATAAATTGTAGCCTTACCTGACATGTACACTCAGATTTGAAGACATGTTTTAATGGTTGTGGAAGGACCAAGCAAAATGATAGTAGTATTTTATTCCATTTTGATTCAATAAATGATTAGCAAACGTGAGGTGCTCCGCGTTTCCGCCAAGCATTTATAAAGATATAAATATGGAATGTACTGATTCCATCCGTAAACATTCAAGGCCTTCATAAGTAGCTATGATAAGAAAAATGTTAAAGACGCGGCAACCCCGCACAAGCCCAACGCTCCAACAACCCTGTCGCATCAGCGACAAACCAAACCTGTGCCGGACGGTCCGACGAGAACTTACACAAGTTGCGGTGATGCGGCCCACCTAATTGCCCGAAATTTAGTGATTTTATGTGACGGACACTATAAAAAACTAGTGCGAATAATATCAGACATCTATCCGAACACGTAGACGCAGGATTCATCGCATTACACCAGCTACATCCAGGTAAATTTGTTTGCTATATACGCCTCGCATGCCTTCCGTCTTTCTGCGCGCTATCAGCCTCTTGCTTTATTTGTTGCAACACGTTAACACGTACCGGTGAGGTTTAACGATTTTGCTTGTACTGCTCTAAGTATGGTACTTTTTATAAAAGAACATGCGTCTGTAGTGATTTTTAGATAAGATAAAGAGTGCTACACACACGCAACATAAGTAAATTATTTAGACCTAGTTTATTTAAAAAAAAGTTGCTACGCACGCATGTTTTGGCGCACAGATAGCGGGTTAAAATTGTTGCTTGTTTAGCAGAATGACATCGATAAAGAACCGAGAGCGAATTCTGGAGGCGATTGACCAGTTGCGCCGTAGAAAAGCCCGTCCTGATATCCAAAGAATATGTAATTACTTATTCAGACGATTCGCTATGAATTCCGTGGAAGCGAGAACCGACTTGGAGTGGTGCGTTGCTAACAATATCGTTCTTAAAGTCGAATACAAGGGGAGCATAAGTTACCGCAACGCTGCAAAAAAGTACGCTCAAATGAGGCGAGACCCCAATAAACAGATTTCAGCCCAACAGCGCTCCTCTCATATTCAAAATGAACTGACCATTAACAAACAGTTCAGCGAGTTGCTCATGAATGCATTCGGCGAATTAGTCGTAGAAGAGCCCGATTATCTGGAGCTGGGCGTTCCAGCCAGCGAAATAATAAACAATATTCTGTCAAAGGACAGCGTGAGATATACGAAAAAGTATATTAGCATTCTGTTGGAGAAGGAAGTTGAAAGGGGAAGTTTGATAAAGATGGGGAATGGCAACTACCTCATGGGCCCATCCAAGGACGACGATGAAAAGAGAGAGAAGAGGGAGATAGAGATAATCAAACAGAGCGGTGGCGACGTGAAAGTCGCCTCAAATAGAAATGATTATATGGTCGAAATTAAATCGAAAAAGAAATTTGGAACGGACACGAAAAAAGAGACGAAATCCGCCGAACATAATATGGAATCAAACTCTGCAGACGAGAAGAGAAGTGACAGCGGCTCCCTGAGAATTGGTGGGAGGAGAAAGGTTAGTTTTTTGACATGTCAATTCTCAACTGTTGTGTCCTATGCCATGTTGCAGTTCTGTTTTCAGTTTTTGTGGCTATGAGTTCCCAGTCTAATCTTTGATTATCATATTTGAAAAAATATGCCAAAATACAAAGTAATTATAATTTATCTATTTCCATTTGAAAATAAAATGACGGTTTTTAACATAACAACATGTTAACAATTTAATTGTACATTTTTATGTATTGAAATTATATTATTGTAGTCTCATTAGTTAATTTTTATAAATATCTTTATTCTGCAAAAAAGAAATAATGAAAAAGAATAAGTATTTGTATTGCTTATTATAGTGAAATAGGGTGAATTTTATTGAATCACTGTGGTCAATAATTTGAACACAATTTCTTTAGTTCTTAATTTTTCACAAAATAAGTTTGTGTTCTTTATATTTATTGTTATTATGTAATTTTTCATTGTAATTAATTGTTTTTGCAGCTAAAGGAAATATTTATAATGCATTCAAACATAATACTGTGCTTGATGCTGTACTTATTTTTTGTCCAATGTTACTTCGTCCCTGTTTGCAAAGTGCCATGTATTGACTTGATGATGGCTCTTGGGAAATAGCAGAATAGCCCAAGTATAGTTCTGACTTTTCTTGTGTATTTTATTGAAATGTATGCATTAAGACATTAATCCTTTTTTGTAACATTGCATTACACATACACGAAATGTACCCCATCTTCATCAAATAATTATGGGTCATTCAAAGTATCTATATTGTTGTAACTATATAATTTTCACTGAATAGTTTCATGAATTATTTTTCAGAGAGCAAGAAAGGTATTTGATCCATCAGATACTCACATTCCAAAGAAGCGTGGCAGACCAGTTGGGTCTCTAAACAAGTCAACAATTGAGAAACAAATGGCTAAGACCAGTGATGATAGTCGTCCAGAGTCCAGGACATCTAGTAATGGCAGGGAGCAAGGAGGAGTGTGCTCTGTGTGTAGACTGCAGAACAAGAGAGGTCCGAATGACAAGATGGTGGCATGTCGGGAGTGCAGTAACAAAGGTAATACTAATACATATATTTTACAAAAGGTTAAGGAATATTCGGCATTGAAAGGTTGATGTCGATGATCAAAATAACTTCTAGGCTTACCTGCACCACACATGATTATACTTCTACTCTTAGTTTGAAAGTGTTATATGCTCTAAAATGTGTCATACTTCAACTGCTCCAGCAAAGGTGCACAATGAATTTTTTGTTATTATGCTGATGCGTAAGGGGGCTTAAAATTCCAAAAATGTGTACATGTGCAGGTTAATCTAGCACAGTGGAACAATGTTGACATGACTGATGATGAGAGTAACTTTGTTATTGCGAGTACCTAAACTAGGTCACCAGAAAGCAGCCCAATCTACAACTTTTTTGAAAAACCATATAGCGAGTACTCAGCCAGATCTGAATACCAACTACCAGATACGTGGTTGGGTACTTAGTGGAGTGAGGTGTTCAATATATACTAAAAAATCATCCACATGAGACAACTGATTTTGGCAAAAATTATGCTTTAACCTTGACTATTTCTTTGACAGTGTGTTTGGGAAATGCATATGAGCTCCGACTTTGTGCACCACATCTGCAAGTCTTTGATTTACAAGGGTTGTATGCTTTCCATTCTAACCAAGTAATTACCTGGTGAAACCAAGTACTCGGTCAAAGGGGTCCAGGGTACGCGGGTATAAACCAAGTACTCAGTACATCCCTAGTCAATACCAATTTATTTAATTTCATTCCTTCATTTATGACCTGTTCATTAGGGTGATTTTAGTTTCAAGTGCTGTTTTTTAATTTTAGCTCACTACAGTTGCCTGAATGGTGATGACATGATGTTGAAAATGCATCCAGATAATACTTGGCAATGCCCACAATGCAAGACTTGTGTTGTCTGTTTTGAAACTTCTGATGCAGTAAGTATATTTAAAATTGTCAAGTACTTAATAAATACATATTTTAGAAGATTTTCCCATACCGTATTTCTAAATATAAATCTCATTTACGTCACGTCAAAATAAAAACTACTAGTAGCTAAATTTTTTATGCTTTGCTGTAGCGCGAGGATTTGAGGTTCCCGAACTAATTGTTTTGACGTCGTGTAAATGCGATTTGACTACATTTTTAAATTGTTGATTGATATTCAAATATTATATCACTAGGGTTACCTGACAGTATGTACAGTCTGTGCTGATGCATACCATTCTGGTTGCCATCAACCAAGGATAACAGAGAAGATTCGAAATGGGCAGAAGTGGTTGTGTTGCAATTGTCAGATGCCAGAAGAATTGAAGATCAACCAGATACAGTCAAACATTGGAAACTCGTTTAGTCAGAAGAGCCTAGTTAGTCATAAAAGTAATATCTCAGGTAATTATCTACCTAGTGCACAAGTTGACATTTTACCGATTTTTCTGACATTATGTAGGTTTTCCATATAATAACCCTGCCGGCCAGATTCTTGGATAAAAGCAAATGCCTAGTTGAACATAATATAGAAATTTTCTGCTGCTATATCATTGTCACTATGTGGATCCAGTAAAATGACTTGTAGGTGATTTAAAAGTTTCGGTTGGCCCTTTTCATTACCCATAGAAAATTGGGTTTGTCTCCCAATATTTTACATTTTTAAATGTTGTATCAGGTATAAAATTTTGTATATATTATATATGCATGCCTTAGATTGGGACTGGCAATGTTGCAATTGTCTATGCGCGTTCTGATCGCGGATGGCGATAATAAATTAACATTTATCTTTAAATGATCTGCTTTTATTCAGCTTGAATTGCTTTTTGTTATCCACAAAAACCTTCATAATTTTCATTTGTCTGGAACATAGTCTGTATGGAAACCTACACACTTTTATATGAAAAAAATTAATTTGATTCGAAATGACTACATAATGTTAGATCGAAACAAATCGTACATGAACACGAGTTCCTTCTACCTAGTCCGAATTGGTTGGAAAATACTGACTCAACCTAATTAATTAACACTATTTATTTTACAGACACGAACGACATTAGCAACCCACCCTCATCTTCATCCTCATCGTACGCCGCATCACCACCTCTATCACCAACCCCTCCTCCAAGACTCAGCCCCCAAACCACCAGAGAGGGTGCCACCAGGTCAATCGTGAACGGCCGGCACTCTTCAGACGAAGACCGGAAGTCCGATTCGGATGTGGACGACAACATCGATCCGAGCATACCTGATGCCACGCATTGGACTGCCGACGAGGTGGCTGATTATTTCGCGCAGTGGTTCCCTGATGAGTCCAAGGTGTTCAGAGAACAGGTAGGTCGTAGAAACATTAGTTTATTTTATCTATCTGTTTCTATTTATTTATTTACGGATAAAATCTAGCTGAGACATCTTATGGAGGGCAAAGAGGCCCTAAAATATGCAATTAAAAGCCAAATCTGAAAATTAACGCCTTTTGGACTTCAGTGTGAATTGAAAGAAAGTCATATTCTATCAATTCGTCAAACTGGAATTTATTAGGCCATATCTACAGAACAAAATAAGATTTTGTCATACCTGTGATAAATAATGAATAAACGTCCTTTTTTTTATTGTGCTGTCTCAAATTGTAAAATTGCTTTTGCCTTCCCAAATTAAGCTTTTCATTCAGTTTCAACAGCTGGTAATGTAATGGCCGACAATTGGTTCTCATATACACAGCAACACACCACCTTTTTGATGAGGCTCAAATTTGGTATAGAGGTGAAACAAGAACGTTTTCATCTTTTCATATGTGATCTATTCCCTATCCAAAACATTATTAACCGGTCCATGAAGGGTTAGATTCAGCTTTGTGTAAGTAGGGCAGCGTTCGTGAATTGTTACAGTGTACTTTGTACTATGTAACGTTTTCAGCATTTGTAATTGCTTGATGTACCTTTTCCATGCTTTTGGAAATAGAACAAAGTAATGCTTCTGGTATGTCAAAAGAGCACTTTTCTTCCCATGCTTATGGTTCCTTGGGAATATGAGTGTTGCCACTTGTCACTCTGATGGTTTATTCTTTATTTACTCTATTTGGTTTTCAATAACTGCTCAATATTGGCAGAATATGTATTTAATAAAAAGAATTGTCTCAGAATACGTGGTTAGAAATTATTCGGCTGCCATCAAGCGCCTTTACATGATTCTGTAATAATTTAGGCGTTCTAAAATTGAAGTTACACAGTATTCCAGAGCAAAATTCCATCTGTGAATCCACTGTGTACGATATTACATAACCATGATATTATTTACAAATGCACTCCAGAGATGTGCACGTCATCTATCTGTCATAAGTTTTTTCAATTCGTGGCACCCGTGTGATCCGAACTACTTTTTCCACTATCCCTATGCATTTAGTGATAGAAATAATGAGCCATCTTATTAAATTCTTTTTGCTGTGTATGTGAGCTGAGCTTGTTGTGTATCCTTGCCCTAGACCTGATATGCATTCTTAACATCGCCCTCCCATAATATGGTGTAAGTGCAGTGTGATTGTATTTTTGAAGTAGAGAAGTGTATATCAGTGTAAAATCGGAAGAAGCTGTAAAGCTTCCTTTGATCGCTATGCTCTATGTGCAAGGAGAGCCATCTACTTAAGAAATTAATGAACGAGGCAGGGGGCCACAGTAAGGTACTAATCTGTGCATAATACTTGTAACCACTTGGAATGGTAACATAGTAATCTTCATGAATGGACCACCCTATAACTAAAAAATCTTTGTTTGCCTTTGGTGTTTGACGTAATTCTCATTGTTCTAGGAAATTGATGGGCGGTCGTTGCTGCTTCTCAAAAGGATGGACGTCCTGACAAATCTCAATTTGAAGCTGGGACCAGCTCTGAAGATCTACAGACATGTAGTAAAATTGCAAGTCAGACGAGATGATCCTAAACTATATTGGTTGTAAATACGGTTTTGTAATGTTGTGCATATTTTTGAGTGCTGATTCATTTTCTGTATAGTATTCTAACAATATAAACACATGATTTGTATACACTGAGTACCAAATTTGTCTGACGGCTACACATATGTTAGAAAGAGATAGAAGCCGCCTGGATAGTGAGACTCATCACCGCGTTGCGTTGCGTATGGTATGTCGAAATGAAAGGTCAGGATTGCCACAAATTCTGCAACATTGCATCATTGGTTCGTTTGATGTCACCGCATCTTGTATATTACCTCCATGATCGTAGTTGAGCAATTTTGATCAATACTCATATATCGATCGTAGGGAGTGTCGTCCTGCTTCGAAATGGCTTTCACCTGCGTACACGCAGGTAGTGATAATTTGAATTGCGTAATGTTATTTGTTACATTTTCTGACCGCAGCGGTGTCGCAAAATGTAACAAAACAACTCAGGATGTGTTGATCTTATCACCATCGGTGGAAATTAAAGATAATTCTAAATTAAATTATAACTGGATCGCATCATAAATGAAATAAATAATTCCAATCAAAATAAAAACAAAATATCAAATTAAATGTTCGAACAGACGCCCTTGGATTTGAGAGTAACCTAACCTATTCTAGCAGCCTGCGCGAACGTTTTCTGGTGTAACACAGTGGCAATACGGTAGATTGCATACCTTCTGCGTCACCGTTGCTAGGTAATGTGGTGATGACCTTTGCTCTTCAGCCGGCTTCTGTTTCTTTCTAACATGTGTTGATACGCACTTCTCGCGCTTCTGTCTCGTACACATTGAACTGAAGCCGTCAGATAAATTTGGTTTTCCCTGTATAATCGTTAACAGCTGAGGTCTCTTTCAAGAAAATTTGGATTTTGAGAATCAATTGGCTTTCTTTATGTCATTGGTTTTCAAATTCTATGACGTTATATTAAGTTGATTCCAATTCGATTATGTGAAATTTGTCATAAATGATCTTTCTTCTTATTCTTTATTTAATACTGCCGTTTTTGTTGATATTGAGTTGTCTAGAGTGATATAAAGTTGTTATGCTAAGCACATTACATGAAACAGTGCATGCAAATGCTAAAACGCATTCGTGTTATAGTCTCTGTAGTTTATAAATGCTTTTTATTTTGTAATTTATATTAAGGGATTCTATTGTGATTGTATATTTAAAAAGTAAATATATCAATATTTCATAAGAAACCTCTTCTTTGATGCTTTGGTATAAAACTAAAACAGCTATTATTTTATGCGATGTTACAAGGATAAGTCAAAAACTGTCATCTAGCATACACGTGGTGAGTTCTAAACAGTTTTGCTTCCTACGCCACTGGACGATGTTTTTTGGATGTTATATGACATGTACATCACGAAAAATCATGTCACTCATTTCCGTCGGTATGCCTGTCTGCTAATCTTTGTCAAATATAATCTCTCATGAATTCAGGACAGCGTTGCTTAGGAAGTGCGGGATCAACCTACTTGATTCCATTTTTTGTGTTGTTGTTTGAGTTTATGCACCCGAACGATTAGCTTCTCATTTTTTTACACTCAATATACATCTACAACTTACTGGTACCACTGCTTCTCCATCCTATGCCTAGAGAGCGGAACGATCTGCGAAGAGAAAGCTTGCTAATCTAAGTGTACCCTATTCGTAGTCCATTTACGCCCCGGCACAACAGAGATGCAACGCGGCAAAAGCAGCAGCCGCCTGAGCGTCGCAATAGCTATTGGTCATTCGGCCATAAAACTACGAAGTGCTGGATTCGACAGGATAGAACTCAGGCTCGGGATATCGCCGGCAGTTGCTGTTCATATTCGGTGCATACATAGCGGGTGTTTATACGTCAGCATGTCGTCTACGGATACAGCAGATGAAACAATATTTCTCCCAATGCTACCTTCAGCCATGCTTCCTCTTCAGTAATGTCTCCTCCGCGAAAAGTATAACAGGAGGTTAATAGTGATGAAGACTTAACTACTTTCAAAAGGACCACATTCTATAGTTTACTCAAAGAACTTCATTTTGAGTATAAAAAACAGGGCAGAAATGGTATTTTGATGCCAGCCAAGAGATTATTTTATGGAACAGAAATTATTTAAAATCAAAGCACACCACATGCGGTTTATGAATTAGCGTCTAAAATAATATCATTTAAATAACGGTGATAACTGCTTCGCTTTGTTTTTGGATTTAGCAAAGGCATTTGACACGGTATCTCATCCTATGCTCCTCGAAGCACTGGAGGGACATGGAGTTAGGGGTGCTGGGTTAAGTGTATTTAGAGATTATTTAATGCATAGGATTCAGTGTGTCAGGATTGCGGACGTTCTAAGTGAACCTAAGTCGGTTCAGCATGGAGTTCCACAGGGTACAGTACTTGGACCAATTCTTTTTAATATAAATGTAAATTACCTCTGCAGTCTTGCAGTTGATGGCGATGTAATTGCCTATGCTGATGACACCGTGGTGGTGTTTCATGGAGAGACATGGGAATCAACGGGTGAAAAATTGAAGACTGATTTTGCAAAATCTAAAAACCTGGACACATTTAATATAAAAAAAAAACTCATTACATTGCCTTCTCTATAACGATGGCTAATAGACCAGAATTTAATCAAATTAAACTTGATAATATTGATAAGCTTTTGAAAGAAGTAAATGAAATTAAATATTTGGGGGTTGTTGTTGATCAGCACTTGAAGTGGGACCGACATGTGCTGTATTTGAGCAAAAAAATTAGATTTTTCATCCATAAATTCTACGCTCTTCGTAATATACTGAACATTAAACTACTATTAATGATTTACAAAGCAATTGTGGTGTCACTATTGGTATATGGCATAATTGTGTGGGGTGGGATGTACGGTTCAAATCTTGGGCAGTTAAAAGTGGTGCAGAACCATATTGTAAGGATTATTCTAAAAAAACCTAAACTATATCCCACTATGCAACTTTATTCTCAAGAAATAAACAATATTAAAATCTTACATATCCTTGCAGTATGTAGTTTTGTACATGCAAGTAGGAAATTAAATACAAATTATGTGTCCCACAATTATATGACCCGAGCAAACACCACTCATAACCTGAACGTCCCGCAGTCCAGGCGAGATTTAAATTTGCGTTTTGTGACATATCTTGCACCTAAATTTTACAATTTGATTCCTGCTAATATCAGGAATATTGGAAATAATAAAAAACTTAATGTTTCGTTTAATATGTTTTGTTGGGAAAATCGTCAACAATTTATGCGTCTATTTTAAGTTGCTTTGAGGTAGATTGATCTGCCTATTTGTTTCTTTTCTTTCTTTTTGATATTATTGTGACACTTTTTTCTGTGATCTTAAGTTAAATCTATGACTTACAACAAACATATGGAATTTTCTTTCATTTTGTGTATATCGTGTTTCATGTTTTGTTTGTATAGTTGAGTGATTTTATACAAAAATATATATTGCACGATATTTATCAATTAATTACTGCTTTGGTCTGTTTTTGCACATACAAGTTTTTAAACTTAGGCGCTCATATATTATAGAGAAACCTTGTTTTTATTTCGTTAATGTATAGATATATATTATTTTTATATTGGTAAATTTGGGTTCTGCTGAATAAATGTGGTAGAGTTCAGGGCGTACTGTTATCTCCAACAACAACAACAACAAAAAATACCGCGACCAGGGCAGGAAGATTTATTACTTGGATGAAACGTGGATAAATGCAGGTTCAAATCAGCAAGACAAGCCTTCTTAGATGGACTAGCCACTGGCCTAAAGAATCCGCCAGGTACGTGTATCTAACCAATTCGTCATTTGTGTTGTAAAAATGGTGTCAAGTAGACTGAATCTATGAGCCCACGCTGAAAACTTAGCTATAACTGGTACATTTGGAACCAACACCGGTTAGATAATCTGCTTGTATTATTATTAGTTTTCTTGAATCCTATATGAAATAAATATTTCCAGGAAAAGGAAAACGATTTGTTAACTGTCACATTGGCAGTGTAGGTGGCTTTGTGCCTACTGCCCTATGGGCATTTGAGTCAAAGAAAACGACCGACTACGATGAAGAAATAGACGGGAGTTCATTTGGACGGTGGTTTGAAGAAACGCTCCCAAAGCTTGACGACAATGCTGTCATTGTACTTGATAATATTGCATACTACACAAGAAAACTAGAAAAAATTCCCACAATGTCCACAAGCAAAGCAGAAATTCAGCAATGGCTCCCATCAACAGACATTAGTTTCAATGAAAATATAGTCAAAGCAGAACTTATCCAACTAGTCAGGCAGCACAAATACAAAAATGTAATCTTGACGAAATGGCTAGAAACCAAAATAAGACCGTTTTAAGGCTACCCCTAAGGGGGTGATAAGTCACTGCGAATTAAATCCAATTGATGAAATGATTTGGGCAAATATAAAAAACTGTATGGCTTCAAACAATAAAAGATTCAAATTTTAGATTTAGATTATTCCAAGACCATTGAGGAAAATGCGGACCTGTACAATCTCACTTTTCGGCATGTTGTGTTTTGTCTGGGCGTAAATGGACTACGAATGGGGTATAGTTCAGAACATGTACGATCAAGTTTTTCTCAACTGATATACGATCGTAATATTTATGCTTCGAAGTTGCGGCTGCCTGGCCATAAAAGATAAAACGTAAAATTTTTTGGGAATGCATCTTTGAATCTATATTTTATTATGTCATAATATCATCAGGGTTCGGGATTTTGTACAAAGATATAGCAATATCTAAATTAAGACGTTCCCTCTTGCAGGAGAATTTGCTGTTCATTATATGTTATTTAGGGCGCCAATGCCAGGATCTTATTTTCAGCAGCGAAAGATAATTTGAGAGAATTTATGAAAGTAACGAAATGGCCAAAAAAGCAGCTTATTTCTCTGTACAAGATGTACGATATATTTCGACTTTAAACCTTTAATGGCCGTTGAAAATGGGTGATAGCAGATACTTCCACCAAAACAAAGATCCTGTCTCTATAGTACAGCAGATAGGATAGTAATGGACAGGTTCGTGTCATTCTATTAAGGGCTCATTTCAGTCTTGCTTTTAATGTTGGACCAGCGAAAGATTGCAAGCCGAAAGAATGCGGACAAAAAATTGCGAAGTTGTCAGATGTTCTACATAAAATGCGGTCCATACATATTAACATATTTAAGATATAGAATTGTTCCGCTGAATTTGGCAATGTAGCTGGAAAACCCAGGCCGCAGGTAAACATCCGGTCGCTGATTGGTCCAAAACTCTTATCTTATCTGAAACTAGAATAACGTGCCGATGGCACGGTCATTTATAAACCTACTCCCATAGGCGTAGGCAGTTGGCAAATACTTTGAAAATATAATTTACTGTTTAGTGGTGATAATGGAATTCAAGCATGGGAAAGTTATTCACAGCCAGGCAAGGGAAATAATAGCAAACGTGATACGTGCTTGCGATGCAGAAGCGGCTAACAATACTTTCGTTTATCCACTGGTAGCTAGAAATGCAAGGGCGGCATATTATACGGGTGTTAGTGAACGAACTATAAGTAAAATTAGAAAAGAAGATAAAGACAGGCAAAATGCAACCTCCACACAGCCTTTAGCTTCTCCCGGAAAAAAGAGATCACGCCCTTCTGTGATCCAAAAAATTGATGGAGTCGATTTTTCCATTATTCGGAGAATGATAGAAAAATTTTACTGTGATTTTAAAGTGGTACCTACTTGTAGTAAACTTCTAATCAAACTGAAGGAAGAAATGGAATTTCCATTTGGTAAAGAATCGTTGAGGCTGCTTTTAAAAGCAAAAGGATTTTACTGGCGTAAATGCCACAACAAAAGGAAATTACTAATGGAAAGACCCAGTATTTTACATTGGCGATACAAGTATCTTAGGTCTATTAAAAAGTTCCGGGAAGAAGGAAGGCATATTATTTATTTGGACGAAACTTGGGTTGATAATGACCTCACTTTCAAGAAATGCTGGCAAAGCGAAGAAATTATGGGTGTCCTGAGCAATATAAGTTCTACAGGTAATAAAGTTTCTTTCACCTCGATTTTGCTTATTATACATTTTTCTCAATTTTGGAATATTCTTAATAAGTGCTCATTTAATTTGTCTAATTGAATACATAATCCCTTGCAAGTATTTTTTTCTCAAAAATATGTTTTTTATACATAGTGATTCAAAAAGGTGTTGGCAAACTTAAAATAACACTAAAATGAGGCTATTTATTCATTTCCAGGACGACTTATAATTGTTCATGCGGGTTCGCAAGATGGTTTTGTTCCTGGAGCCTGTCTCATTTTCAAGGCTGGCTGTGCCACTGGTGATTATCACGGTCAAATGAACCAAGAAAATTTCACGAAGTGGCTTACTGAAAAACTATTTCCTAACATTCCTCCTAATAGTATTATAATAATGGATAATGCACCTTACCATTCAGCTTTGGAAGACAAGCCTCCAACTAGATCTTCTCTAAAAAGAGACATCATCACGTGGTTGAGCAAAAAAGGTATAGAGCATGATCCTAATGCTAAAAAAATGGAGCTTTATGAAATAGCTTGTCTACATAGGCCACCATCTGATGAGAAAAATTATAAGATAGATAATTTAATAAGAAGTTTCGGACACACCCCACTTCGAACGCCACCCTATATGTGTCAGTTTAATCCCATAGAGATGATTTGGGCACAAGTAAAATTTTTCATTAGAAGCCATAATACAAGCGGCGAATTTACTATAAAAAAACTAGATGAAATTTCTAATAAGGCCATCGCTTCAGTAAGTGCCAGTGACTGGCAAAAGGTTATTGGACATGTTATAAAAATTGAAGATGAATATTGGGAAAAAGACAGTCTCATTCAAGAAATACAGGAAGAAATAATAATCAACATAGGAGGTGAAAGTGATAGCAATGACAGTTCCTCAGACAGTGATCATGACTCTAATCAGGATTGAAACTATACTAGATTGGCTACCTTTTAGAATTTTTAGATATTCATTTATTATACTATTGGTTTGTGGCTTTTAGTATCTCAGTAGAAAGTCTAATTCTATGTGTTGTTTATGGGTTATTTCATCAAGAAATTACTTTTTGTTTTCCTATATTTTTCTATTCAGTCAGATATTTTTGACTTGTTGTATTCTATTTTAGAAGAATGCATAATTTGTTTTGCTGTTCAATCATAATGCGTACATAGGAATATTACTTGTTGCCTAAAAAATATATTTATTTTGTTCTCAATATTCAGTGTTTGTGTATATTTATTTCTTATAATGTATGTTTGGTATCACGTCATTATGAATCGCAAAAAAATATTAATACTACCAGTTGTAATAAAATATAAATTCAATTAATAATTCAAGTCTCTCCGATCTCCGCCTATGACTCCATATAAAATCGTCTAATGGTAAGGTTTTTTCATCGCATTTCCCCCTTTCGTCCCTAGCAATCTTTGGCTGGTCGATCAATACCCTAAATGTTGCTCGAGATGCGACGGGCAGAGAGAAGCCGAGGGCAGCAGCGGTGGCCGCAGTGGTAGACGCTTCGTCTCCTAATCAGTCGCCGTGCTCTGCGAAGGTTCGAATCGGGTCCCAATAGAAATTTTTCTCATGGCTATGGATGTTGTGATTGTCCGTAGGTGGTAAACGGTCTCCGACTGTCGTACGCGGAGGTACCACCCAGCGCATCTAGCAGGCGGGGCCAGAATGTGTGCATGGTGAATGCACACGAGTTCCCTTGTTAGAGTTCGTGTGGAGACCCCCCTTCCCCTGTTTGTATTCCCATATAGCCCCACGGTACCTCAAGGGTGTATAGGCCTTCGTGGTAGCTACAGTATAAAAAAAGCTCCGCTCGTCTATCCAAGGGTAAGTTGTTAATAATTGTTGTTAACTCTAATGATGCAATTCCATCATGGTCTTGAGATGTAGGATTCGTTTTGTAGCAAAGGGCAATAGCCTTACAAAGAATATATTTTGTTTTGTACTTAATTAATTTCAGAAATACATATGCCCTAACGGTCTGCGAAACTTTTCCAGCGACTGGTTCGGTCAAAAGTAATATGTGGAAAGAATAATACAAATGAAGTATATCTGATGTATTATTATTAAAACCTTCAACATATATAACAAAATGTCTATTTCATTAAGTACACAATTACCTTTTACAATCACATTGAAAATAAATAATCATATAGTAGTCAATACATATAACTCTTATGATCGAATATTTACTTAAAAGTAATAGGACCATTCAAAAATATACACGTCTCATTGCCATCATAAGCTTACGATTTATTTCTTTTTGCAAAAACTTATGGATAGAACCTAAAGATTAAATTTTTTCAGGAAATTTCAGCGATGCTATTCTCATATACGAGTATTGTAGGATAAACAAGTATGCAAAAATCCTCAAAGTTGCAAACGTGCAAGAATGTCATCTCAACTTTTTGAATAATCCTATTTCCTAAATGTTACACATCTTATAGTACTGTGTACTCTGCTCATCTCAATTATCATAATAATAATAATAATCTACAAACTACAATAAAATAACTGCTAATATTTGGACGGAATCGTTAAGTACAAAGTAAGTAATAATGGCAACATGTCAGTCAATTCTACATACAGCATTTGGGATAGATACTGACCTTAACCATTTAACAATCATTTGAGCAAGGTCATACTGACCTTATTTGTGTGTCTGTAAAAACCTGTAAAATCTCATTAACAATAGAGTATACGTTTTTCTTATCACGAACTGTCATGAGCTACAATTCACCCTGTAAATTATATCCTAATCATTTTTAGGAGAGTACCTATTTGGCAAGATAAATTCACGTTATGAGCATGCACCAAGCCTGACGTACATTCTAACTAAAACTACACCAGAAAATCAGTTACGTGATCACATAATAAAGTTATGCCGTTATATATGGTTTATTGGGATGTTGATTAATAATATGCACAAAACAAGTTTATATGGATATTATAACATGGGTTTTAAAAATTTATATTTCAGAGAGTATTGCAAATATAATATCAAATGACATATCACTAGAAAAGTAAAATGTTCGAGTTTAAAGCACGTGCTTGCGAACGCCGCTTTACCTCCCTAGGTAACGCCACGAGCTCAGTATGCTAAATGACGAATTCGCTAACTGTCTGGTATTCAGTGACGAAGCGACATTTCATTTAAGTGGAAGTGTGAACCGTCATAACATTCGGATATGGGGCACGGAAAATCCTCATATGATTGTGCAACATGAAAGGGATTCTCCAAAATTGAATGTCTTCTGTCCAATATCCAAAAATAAAGTATACGGGCCTTTTTTCTTTCATGAAAACATTGTGAACGGTTCATCCTACCTAGATATGTTGCATTTGTGGTTATTTCCGCAACTAACAGAAGATTCTAACAACTTCATATTCCAACAAGATGGAGCTCCGCCTCACTGGCATCATGAGGTGCGTCGGTATTTAAACGAGGCACTGCCTCACCGTTGGATTGGCCGAGGTACTGCACAAGATTTGGTATTGTTCGCGTGGCCTCCCAGGTTTCCCGACCTTACACCATGCGATTTTTACCTTTGGGGTCACATTAAAGATATGGTTTACATACCACCTCTGCCAACAACATTGGGTCAACTCCGGGAACGCATTACTACTACTGTTATTAACAATATCGATCGAGACACATTGCAGCGTGTATGGGCCGAACTGGACTATCGTTTGAACATATGTCGTGTGACGCAAGGAGCCCACATCGAACATTTGTAATAACATGCTTAAAATCTTGAATATTTTACCTTTCCATTGACATGTCACTTACTGTTATATCTGTAATACCTTCAGAAATATATATTTTTAAAACCCGATGATTCCTTTGTAATAACCCTGTACTACTGGATGTGCAGGCGTCAAAGTTCGCCTTGTTGACATTTAATCCATTAAATAATCTATTTGGCGTAAATGACATTATTTGTAATTGCCAAAACTCTCTGCTGTATCATTTAGAGTGCGTTAACCTCCAAAGACGTAAGTTTTCAGTTGTATATACTAGTATTCCAAGAATATTTACTCTAAAACAATCCAAATCCTATAACTAGAACCTTTTGCAAAAATGTTCGGCCGAACCCAAAAATTGAAACCTTTTTTTAATTGAGCTGAGACGTTTTCTGTAGTATATTGCAAACATGCCCGGCATTTGTCTAGTCCAAATCATCGAAGCATAATTTATCCCTTCTTGAATTTAAGCACCAATATACTTATTGTCAAGAATACAATGATCCATACTATCAACGAAACGAACCCTTGATACACAACAGGTTTACTCATTCCCCACCCTCTGGCAAGGACGCACCTCATACTATCCGTAGCTTGAGTTAGAGGTAGCACACTGGATATGTACTTCAAGTAGTTGTCCATAGCTTCGATTGGCCATATGATCCCGCACAACATAACTATTGGTAAGAAACTTCCTAGAGCCATGTATGTTGCCGTTCGTTCTGTATCGCAGCTGCAGGAGACCACAAAACCTGCAAGAAAAAAATGCAACTTGTAGATAACATTATAACCTATTAAAAAGTTGACTGGTACTAGGTGAGAAAGGCTAAGTTAGTGAAAATAAAGTCTAACTTAACTTTGATTTGTATATATGTATACCCTATAAAACGTTTTTACAAAGTTATAAAGTTTTTCATGCTACTTTTTTGTATAGTCCTATCGAATAATTGTATTTTTTAATTGGGACACTTTATTTGGTAGCACTGACACAATCTATACAAAAAATACATTGCATGAAGCATTTTGTATTAGACCCTATAACTGCCAGTGTTGTTCTTTAATATTTAAAGCGCCTGAAAGAAGTTACGGCTGGAGGTTTTACAAAGTAAAGATCAACATTGGCCATTAGAATTCAAGTTAAGTTAGCCTTATTTCTTCTTCTCTCTCACCTGGGCATCGAGATATTGAGTTACGAGTGAGACACCTGGCAAGCTTGTGTATCAAACCAGAACCCAAACATCTTGACCGAAAATTCAGAGAGTGGTTTTCTATTAAGGTTGTGATTGAGCATTGAGGTTCTGAGCTTCACTGAGTTAGAGTAAGGATCCTGTCAATTTTATCTATCAAATTTAGAACCAAGATAACTTGCCGGCGAGATCAAGTAGAAACGCACATTCAGGTTCTACCTATCAAACATAGAGTACACACGAGGTCTGTAAATTAAGTGATGAGACTGACAACGTAGCGTTCCATCTGGAAACAATGGAGGCGCCGGGTTTGGGGGGAGGGGACAGGGGAACATGTGATCCGCCTTTAGTACATGTTTGAACTCGCTTGAGTCATTTGGTTGTCCGTAGCGATTTTTTTCTTATGAAGCAGTTTTTTCTATTCTAAAAATGAGTGACATAAATTTGGAGCAACGGTGTGCTATCCGGTTTTGCTTCAGACGGAAACTCTAGCTAAGCTTCAGCAGGCCTTCGGAGATAGAGTTTTGTTAAGAGCCCAGGTTTCTCGGTGATTTAAGGCATTTTCAGACAGGAGAGAGTCGATTGAAGATGATCCACGAAGCGGAAAGCCTCAAGAACCGATGAAAATATCGACAGAATCCGGGATCTTGACACCACCGTTCATGTAAGACCAAACATCAAGAACAACTGGGTGTTGCATCACGATAATGCTACTTGTCACACAGCAATGCCAATAAACGAGTTTTTGGCCAGTAACAACATTCCTGTGGCTCCTCAGTCTCATCATTCGCCCGATTTGAGACCTTGTGACTTTTTTCTCTTCCAGAAGTTGACAAATCACCTCAAGGAAGCTCATGTTGGGACAGTCGATAACATTCAAACGGCTGTAACTGACCTGCTAAAGGCTATTCCAGTATCGGAGTTCCAGCACTGCTATGAGTAGTGGAACAACCGTCTCCAGCGCTATGTGGCTTCAGAAGGAAGCTATTTTGAGGGTGACAATATAAAATTTTGATTATATTTGAATAAAAAAAATAAAAGAAACTGGCATAAATACTTACCAAAGCACATTCCGCACATGCCAGCCAACAAGGTGATCGTGAACACCAACCACCAACTTCCTTGCTGAGTCAAGGCAAAGAAAACGAAGACCACTAACAGCACCATGATCGTTTGGCCCAGCATCACGATAAATTGTGTGAAGATCTGTGAAGATAATAGCTCAACACCGCTGATTCCGTTCACAAGAGATCTTTCGAGGATACCTTCGTTCCGCTCTATCAGCATGGCGCCTGATGTTAGAGCTACTGCCATGAAGAAGATTATACTGGAAATAAATAAAATTAAACCTATTTGTGAGAGTGATGCTCAGAAAAAGTATCGTGAAGCTAAAATAATAAGAATTCAAAATGGCAACGCAGAGTTTTTACTTCCTACGCCACTGGCGTGGAAGTATTGTAATCGCGAAAAATTTCAAAAATGTGATTATAGTTTTGGATGTGATACAACAAACGGTAGCAAATATTCATTAGTAAAAGTCGAAACTCTAGAGCTGAAGTCTAATATTGCGCAAATGAACTGAAACTTACGTTAACACGACACCTGGAGCAGCAAAATCGGTGAAATTCGGATTTTCAAATCCATAAGCAGGTGCTCCCCACTAAAAATAAAATATATAAATAAATTAGTAATAGTTGCAATAATTTTTGTTGCTATTTATGTATGGGAAAGAGGCGAAAGAGATAGTAAAATTAATGAGAGAAACAAGTAATGTACAGGGTGGCGCAAAATTAACGTCATAGTTCAAATTTTTTAGAACCTTTTTATTTAAGCGATTACCAAAATAAATTTAATTTAACAATATACTATACTTATGGAAAATTAGGTATGAATGATAACGTATCCTAAATGTCTGCCACATTTCCCTTTTTGTTCACCTATAGGGTTTTATCTCACTTTCCGAAAGATTTCAGGCGTTATGAGTGCGGTTTTGTTACGAATATCGTTTTCTTACTCGACTTATTCAAAAATAAATATCGACAAAGAAAAAACCCGGCCGTGCCTAAATCCGGTGATGGGGTCTAATTTAAATAATTGGCTTCCCAGGTAGCACACGTATATTGTCCCAATATACGAACAATACTACGCATACATTGACCCTAGCTAATTTTCCAATATTGGTGCAAGAAAAAAACGTGGACATTTGGATACATTGGTACAATATTGATTTGCAATATCGAACCAATATTGTTTTTCTTCATTGGCTCGATATTACAATTTAATATTCAATTATGATAATATTGTTTCAATGTTTATTTACGTTATTATAGCAATACTTCTTTTTATACTGGTCCAACATTAATTGTCAATATTGGGTGTATGTCATATTTTTCCTATTGCCCCAATCAATGATAAAAATATTGGTTCAACATTGACTTACAATATTAAATCAGTACATCTCTGCAGGGAGAATTTATCCGTCATAGTGTATTTACGAACGTAATTACAATATTGTGTCAATATTATACAATGAATATCTCAAAATAACATGTTGGGCCAATCTCGGCTAAAAGAGAAAACCAATTGTTGTATTTTACAAAGTTTAGCCAATATTGGACAGATATTGGTGTTGTATTGAAATTCTAGTGCTAATATATGAATATTGATCCAATATAAAAACAATGTTCAACTAATGTTCTGTGCTACTTGAGTTCCGGCCAAATAATGTGGACTCTTTATCAGAGCTTCGGCCGAACCCTTGAACTGCCGTGCTGCAGTTTTATCCCGTTGAAACCTCAGTTTTGATACCTTTCCACAGCTATCATTACAAATTTTATAGCATTATACCATTTTGAGCACCTAGTGGTACTTACTATGGAATCTGGACTTGTTAACTCTCACTTAAACGTTAAATAGTTCTATTCGTCAGAACCATGAAGGTTCAAAACTATCCTTTATTACCGAAAAGATGGACTAGGGGTGGCTTTTTCATAGTACTGAGTGTTCCCAGGCCTTAAATTGAAGTGACGACGATCTGCACGCTGAGGTAAAACACGTTAAAAATAAAATGCTGTTTTGATCCATTCTTCCGTGCTGTATCACTTAATATGATATTCTCTAAGCATTCTCTGCTAATTATGTTTGCCAGGAGCGACCAGGGCTTTTAAGAAACCACTTTTTTTCCGCAGATAAATCTGATACCTAGTACAGAACAAAGGATACAATCGATTTTATAAAGTCATGAAATAGAAATATACACAAAAGCTCATTTCGAAGAAGCATGGAGGACACTTTAGCTGACATGTGTGAGATAAATTCCTGTAGAAGGATATGAGACAACTCTAGTATGATGCTTTGCAAAAATTATATTGTACGGAGTGATCCAAAGAACATAAGTTGCTGGATCCTAAAAAATAAAAATAAATTTTGGAAAAAAGGACGCGTGATAAATTATTCAAACCATACTGTTCATTTTGCACCACTCTGCAAATCTATGGTATTTAAAAAAATATCTGTACTCACACGAATGGGTAAATTCGCAATTCTTGTATCTACGTCACAAGACGACAAATATGACGAGAAGAAATTTGCAAATCCGAACAGCAAATCTCTGGTCAAGAATGTAGCAATGTTTTCATCTAAAAATAATATACAGTTAATTTCGTTTCATACAATGATTCTAACATTTTTTGAAAAATAGCTTTTCATTGTATATGGTAGAAATAGTATAAGTTATTTTTTTGACTTAGTAGTCAGCCCTCCTAATTTAAGTGACGAATTCAAATGCGTTATACTTACTGGACTTATCTTGATACACAGAAATAGTTGACCCAAACAGATCTCCTTCGTCAACGTCTTTTCCATATTCCAAGCGATTCCTCAGAGAATCCGAGAAATTATGTCTCACTACCATCACAGCCCAAGACTGTCCCCTGACTACAGATTGACGAGCATCTTCCTCAGTTTGATAATATTTCTATGGAAAAAAGGAAAATTCAAAACTTGAAGTGGCTGTATGTTTACGAAATGTCTAGCTAGCCAAATTTAGTATTCTTCTAAAGACTCATTCTAATTCTACAAGTGGTAAGTTGCAAAAAATTATTTCAGACTTGAACTTTCTATATGCATAATTTACATTTAACAAGGTTTCAGTAATGTCATATGTTCAGGGTTTTTGGAAATGCGTATGTTACTTACCATATCAAGGGAGTAGTTTTGCCGTATATATTCCAAATATGTACAACTGAGTCTTGAATTATTGCAGTCCAGTAGAGCTCTGCAGTGTTCACTCGGGTAATCGATCTCATTATTGACAACAGAAATCCTAACATCATTCGGGTCTTTACCAATAGCCAGGCAGAATAAAATTGCTTGACCTGAAAAAAATACCACAATAATTAAACTTCCTCAGCTTCGAGAATATTTCCAGTGCAGTTCGTGACATGTAGATTTTAAGGTGATGAGCACACACCAAGGAAATACAAAACTAGGTTAGTTTGTTGCTGAAAATATTTGAAATTCGTGGTAAAATTGCATTGGCATACGAATGTCTTAGAACTAGTCACCAATTTTAAACATTTTCAGCAATCAGCATCATAATTTAGTTTTGAATTATCCTGATTAGTGCTATCCGCAATAAGATTCGCTTAGAGTCTGCAGGAGGGGGATTCTTTACATTAATTTTTCAATAATGCTCTTTTTTTCGCTAGTGTGTTGAAAAGAAGCATTTACAATTCTTATGTTGTGTTCAGACATGGGGCCAGCGCATTGGACCAACGTTGGCGCCAACTTGATATATTGGAGCGAGAAAAAAACGGCTCATTCACACATGGGCGGCACTCGGCAAACTTGTAGGATATGATACAGGGTGCGTTTGATCAATACTGTCAAGTGGTGCTTAAGTCAGTTGACATTAGTTGTCTTATTTATTTCACAGACCATAGTCGAAAAAAAGGAATTAGGTTTCAGTGACAAAATCAGATTCAGATATAGAGGTGTATAATTCGCTGTAATAAACAGGGCACTCCTTATTAACGTGCTAATTAATTTTCCAGGATATGATTTCTCAGATAATGTTATGGAGACAAGTGTTGTATTTTTAAGAACGTGCTCCAAATATTATTTTTAATTTCAACATATTATAAGAGACTGAAAGTGATTGAATTGATATCTTTTGCAAGACATCATAACATCTAAATTTTGTGCCGTTCGTTATACTAACTATCATCTATTATAATCCAGTTTATTCCAAGAATAATGTTATTGCACAGCAAATAGATTTCATAGATCTGTTAAGTTCGAACACCACCCTCCATCAGCTTTCTAAAATTGTTAGTTCGTAACACATTTTTGTTTTCCTGACAAGTTGTAAATTACCTAGACCCGAATCTTGAGACGTATCCCAGCCCATGCTCTTCAATTCCTCCCCTACCACGAGACAAACATCTTCCTGAGCATGAATGCTGTGACCCGAGACAAACATCTTTCTAAGCATGAATGGTGTGACTTCCGTTACGTACCCTAGACAGATTCCTATTACAGCTTCTCTGACCATGTTTGCACTGTAGACACATGGTGTACACATCATTAATTTGTGCACATAAATATGAGGGTATTAATCTAATCATATTAGCACATTTCCCCGAAATAACTGCAAAGTCTGGTTTTAATGGTGCAAGTTGTGGGTATTCAAAACATGAACGCATAAAATGAGTACACCAATTTTTGTGGGAAAACTTTTTATTTGACAACAAAGATTGATAAAACGTGTTTTTTGGGATTCAGTTGAGAATATTGACAGGAACGAAAAAACTTTTCATATAAGATTTTTAGATATTTATGAGACCTACAAAATGAGACCACACGTAAAAAGATCCGACTAATAGCAAAAATGTTATGGTAGAAAAACGAGGCAAAATGCAGGTTTTGGCACTTAATGATAATGCGTGACAGAAGTAAAGTCACATTCTGAGAACATGACATGGACAAATCTATTTTTTCATGCTAGGACTTATTGTTACATTTTTAGTCCATTTTACGTTGAACTATGGAGTGCAAGTTTGGCCTTTCCTAGAAAAAGGTGAATACACTCAATAAGATGAATGACTAGACCTACACTGTACCGATGCATGCTGAAAAGCATGAAACAACCTTGATTACGGATGGTTATGGTCACAGAGATAAAAAGCAAATAGATCCTATTTAGCCTGTGTTTATCCAAGTTTTGTATAGTACGTTAAAGCTGGTAGCTGGAGTGCTCTTTTGAGTGACGAGGCGCCTATGTGGTGGGGACACTTGTCCGTTTTATGGAAGTATGTAATTTATTGCTATCGACGCGACGTGGGGGCAAGAGCAGGCTTAGGAATTTGATCGTCTCGGGGAGGGGCGAGGGGGGTTAACGGAGATTAAATTTTGAAGAAAGTGCTTAGCCCGAAATCAGCGCATCTGAGACCGGGAGGCCAATAGGTCTAGGAGGGCATGTCTCATGATGCAGATCCAGCAAGTTGATTTTTCACTAAGATACACCTATATATATATATACCACCTTCTTGGAAAAACAAAAATGGGCGTCACGTGGGGGACGGTACTACGCGGAGGGCGAACTACTGATGATGGCAGTGTAACATCTTAGCGAAATCATGGAAAAAAATACCGTTCCCTCATCCCTTTCTTACCAACAGGTAAACCAATGACAAACAACATCATAGGAATATTCCTCCACATCCACAAGAAGTTTTTCCATATGAGTGCGTGCATATGGTGCATCTGTACGATTTTTAGATGGTCTTTCCATGACAGCTCTGGCTCTTCTTCTGGAGGTAATTCGGGTGGATGGTCGGCTGACGGTTCTGGTGCTATCGATACTCTCCCTAGAAGATACATAAAAGCTCTTTATTGAATTAATCCTTTGCGGTTAGAAATAACATAAGCATGTAGAGAACAATTCTATGAGGATGAGAATCCCCTGTTGGGAGAATTTTACATTCATCTTCATCCCTTCGTTATTTCCAAAATTCTCCATTACCTCCCGATGACCTCATAGCTTTTTTTTAGCTATTTTTTTCTCTATTAGGGGACAATTTGTGCCGAACATAATTTTTTATGAACTGATGACCAATCAAGCATGAACCAAATATTACTAAATACTCAATCCAACTTGTGTTTCATTTGGTGTCCAGAAAATCGTGGACATATATCAGCATAAATCTCACAGGTTTTACATGATCGATGATATAATAATTGTGTATGAAGTAATATTTGGTCTGCATGGGTATTAACCTCTGCTAAATACCGTTGTCCGTTCACTGAAACCTCTGGTATTTTCAAGTTGGCAGCATTTGTCAAATATGATCGTAGTACAAGATCTCCTTTAGCTACTTTGTTGACATTACCTGTCCTACTATTCATCGAAACATTATCTCCAAACTCTCCAGAAATTTCCCCACCGAGCTCATCGTCCAGGACAGCTCCCTCATTTACAGCTCCAGCACCGGGTAATGTTGGAACGTGGATGTTTTCTGTGACTGTCTGAGCTATACTCGATCTCCTCCTCTTGCCCATGTTCTGGATTACACTCAGTTTAAGAAAGACGTCTTCCAAGCTTTCGGCATTGAACTGTTGGATGAGTTTTTCAGGGCTTTCTTCTGCTAGGAAGTAGCCTCCTCTCATTAAACCGATCTAGAGGATAAAACACCTTAACATAATGGCAATCATGACCATAGGACTTCACAATTTAAATAAAATTTTGTTACAAACGAAATATGCTCTACAAACGTTAAATGGAACTTACACATGTTACGGAAACAGTGATTAACTTATTTATGTAGCTAGTGCCTTAAGTGGGTGGTTATAACTTTCAAATAGAATTGAAAATATTGGTCGTACTATTGTACCACCAGTAGTTGAGACCAGCAACGATTTTTTTATCATATCATTAGTAAAACTACAATATTATAGTCCATAAAGATAATTGAGAAAAACAAGGTAAAAAGGTTTTACATCACACATAACTATCAAGCGTGTTAAATGTTTTATTGATCGTATACCGTCTTCTAATTTATCACCAATCATTAAAACTTCTAAAATTAATGTTTTCTTTAAAAAGCCATCTATTTATGCACGTTAGATGTACTTATAATTATGTCATTTGGTAGATATACATGGTGATTCGAAAAACACTAACAACACAAAAAGTGATGACACTGATTGGGGATACAACATAAATACTTGTATTATTCAAATAACTTTTGGATGAGATATAATCGCTTCTCTTATGTTAAATTAATGATAAAATTCTCGGATCTAAGGTTATTTCCAGAGTAGAATGAATTTTATGAAAACATTTTAGGATGTTACGACAAATATTCAAATCAAGTTGTCCTCCATCTAAAATAATTATTGTTTTCCCCACATCTGACAACCGTCTAACCTCCATTGCAAAAGTAAGGTACTACATCCTCAGGGCAAGGCGTGGACAAACTTCACACTGGACCTTATCACGCTTTGGTGCTAAATTCTTCATTTAATGTTTGGAGAGCAAATTTTGTTTTTATTGGAGTTAACATATTGATATTTCATTAAAATATTTTGTTCAAAATACCCCATTCATGCAAAATTTAATGCTTTACCGAAAGATGCAAAAGATTGTACCAAAAAAGAGGACCAGAAAATATTTTACCTGCCTCTTCTGTAGAGCAGATCAATTTTAGACACGGATGTATGCATATCACAATTATTATGCTGTTGCATACATGTAAAAAAAGTTCAGTTGACGCCTTTATTCGTCGTATGGAAAATTTTTCTCAATTTCATTTCTACACTCTGTATTTTGGTAAGGGGGTCTTTTAGGACTAAACAGCTGAATCAATTTTGATCAATTTTAGCACAAAAAAGGGTTAGATTTTGGGGACGCACATAGGCTGTTGCGAAAGTAAAACTTGAGGGTGTTGAAAGGGCGGATGAACGTTATTATGGAGAAACTAAAGGGGTGGAGTGGGGGTTCAAACTTTTGAAAATTTTGTGGGGATCTTAGGGGGTTCCTAATCAAACCAGCCTAGATGTAGGAGCATACCGTGTCTATAATTTTTGGGAAATCCTCCAATAATGGGGTGAAGTGGGGTTAACACTTTGTTAGAAACCTAGAATGTTCCATATTAAGGCATCCTAGATGAGGGATATGTTTCTGTCTATATTACTTTCTTCAAGTGAACATTAACGAAGTATTCCAGAAATTATATCCTTAAGGTTGGGTATAGTTGAATATTTCATATCATACTTAATATTATAAATGCCAAAAAAAAAACGTCAAAAACACGACAAAATGTCAACTTGCTGCCTAGATAGATCCTAGTGTGCAAATAGTACTTTCTGCATTTGCTCATTGACCATGTTGCAAGTTGCAAGTCAGTTCCCCATCATGCTTTGTTGGTTGCAGAATGCTGAGGTGGTCTGAAGAGTATATTTTGTGAAGATGTGTGGTTGAGTAGCAGAGTAACAAGATCACATCTGGATGATTGTGCGTATTGCTCTACATGTGTATAAAATCAGTGATATATATCTATTAGCTGTGTTGCCTTGTCCTTTCTGGAAAATATGTTATGTTCAAAGTTATACTCGTAAATTACAATTTTCCCCAGTTTTATGCGTTTCCAAAAACTTTGAGAAGCATTACGGAAAATTAGGAATGACGCATCACATACAAAACATTTTCGCACTGCCTCACATCTAGGCGCTGATTTGTATCTATTTTCTACTTGTACCGTAAAATAAATTTTATAACAAGTTTATAGTTTATCTTGAAAACTATTTGAATATGCAGAATGCCAGAACACGTTATCTGAGAACAGATTCTGTGATAGGGCTGAATTAAGGGAGGCTAAGAATTCAATATCTTTGAGTGTTCGAAGTGGCGGGTAACAGCTAAATCTTGACGCACTTTCTGTTATACACATATTACCACTGGTTTCCTTATTCACCCTGTATGGAAGAATATATTGACGCATTTGCATAAAAAATAGCTAATTTAATTAGCATGTCTACATTTTTAAGAAATACCAGTTTGACTCACACGAGTATGGGACTATATGAGTACATAAACATTATTTGACATTGTCTAATATATAAAATGGCAAGGTTCTTGCCAATGTTGTATACATAACAAGATAATAAGAATGTAATAATAACGTAAGAAGATAATTCACAGTTGTTAATCTTCGTGTAGAAGTGAGAAAATATTGCAATTTCATCAGGTCACATACTTTATGGCGAGGCTTGTGGGCCAGTCCAAAAAAACCGTAAACTGGAAAAACGAATGCCATCAACATTTTGATACTATACGTTATACATATGCTATTGTGGCAGTTCCTGTTTCAAGAAGCTTCCAGTGGAGCGGATTTATGCCTGGAATGGTAGAGAGATGTGTACTATGAATTGTGCGGCAGTCTTCCATACAGAGATATTCACCGTCCTGAATGTGGTTTATTTACTCAAGTTGTAGAGAACATAATTTGTATGCTTTGAGTTAGTCAGGTTCCATTTTTAGATGTTTCTCTGATAAGAACAGAAGAAGGTGGAGTTTTGTTCATTTGGTACATAAACCTATCACTTTAGGCAGGCTGCTAAACTCTTACTCGTACCATCCCTTTGAGCAATATCATGGTTAAAAATGTTAAATGAAATATCCCACAATTCATTGAACAATATTCATCTATATTTAAACATAAACGCAAGTTTATTAACTATCTCGCACAAATATTTAATTTAATTATTGCTATTTGACCCCATATCAACGTAAATAGTCCAAACGTTAAGTGCTTTAAAACACCGTATGTAAAAAGTCTATCGGAAAAAAATAATCACCCAACTGACGAGAAGACAAGAACTGTTACGTATCATATGAAAATGGTGGGAATTTTATATTCTTTACTAAATAATGATCTATAGATCTACACATTGGTTATAAGTCTAATTTAATGTACAAAATACCTTGCGTTAATTGTCAAATGGTTTATATAGGTCAAACAAAACAAAATTTGAAAAATTGAATACTTTTGCAGGGAAGCTCATAGAAATGACAGTGAGCACACAGCAGACAACTCATTTTCATTTCAGAATTACCATAGTCTCAATTTTGACTCTATTTGCTTATTAGACAATGAAACTAATTAAAAAAGGTCATAATAAGTGAAATGATTACCATTTTTCTATATAATAATACTATGAACAAAGTCATAAGTTTTTAAGAAAGAATTTCTTCGGCCCCTGAGTAATTTTTATGTTGCCTTAATGTTTGTGATTGCTCCTCGTAAACATAAATCTTAGCCCTATTATTACACCATTTCGAGCTTACCATTGGGAAGCAATAATCCAACGATACCAATAAAAACATATTCTGTTGCACTTTTTGTCAGAAAAAACTACATATTCTCTGGAGTAGATGGACATAAAGGGAACTGGCGAAGGCTCTGATACTGAAGGTAATAATATGAATAATAATAATATTTATTTATATGAACTTTAAAGTAAATAAATAGGAAACCCACAGAAGGCAATGCCTGTATATGAGTCATTGCAATTATTTAATGGATACATAAGAACCACAATACAAAAAATCCAGTGTGTAGTCAAAAATAATGTGGGAACATACTTGATTCATAGAAAGATAGCCCTGTGCATGAGGTTAGTATTACATCTACATGATTTTTTTCCATTTAATGCACATTTCTAGAATATCCTTATTAGAAGATATGCAAAATAATTGCTCGTTTACAATATTATTCATTATTTGAAATGACGTTTATGAATTCTAATGCGAGGTTAGTCATTTAACCAAATCCTTAATTTCTTTTTGAAAGCGAATATGCTACGTACTTGTTTGATAGTTGACAGGATGATATTACCTAGTTTTTGAGCCCAATATGGGTATGATCTCTGCATTATACTTTTGAGTGACTTAGGGACCTACTTAGATATTGAACTTGCCATGTACGTTTAATTATTTGTGTTCGCTTCTGTTCTTATAGAAGTATTTTATTGATAAGAAGAAAAAAATAGTTGTCGTACGTCAAAAATTTTAGTTTTTTTGTAAATAGTATCAGAAGAATATAGTACAGGCCTCTTGAATGTAGTTTTGAGCACATACAGGTACATTTGACTTATCTCAAGATTATGAAGATGTGTTTGCTGCGCAGCATTCCAGATGTCAAGTGACTTTCAACTAAATCATTATGTACAAATATAATTCTCAAATAATGTTCTGGAAGAATATTCGGAAGGTATTTTAATTTATAAGTAACAAATCTTATTTTATTCACTAAATAATTTACATCCCATTTTAGATTTTCGCCTACATATATAGAGTGTTTTTAAAGATTTAACAGCTTATCGTACTCGTCAAAAGAAGTTGATATATCAAAAATTACCTAAGTCAAAGTTGCATAATAAGAGAGTTGGTTTACATTATTATTTACATAAATCATTATCAAGTTAAGTGGGTACCGTTTTTACAAAAACTGTTCAAAATCCTCATTTGTTCGATTAACGCAAAATCTAGCTCGGCCATTCCACGATTCTTTACAATAAGATCCTGGTGTCCATGAATTAAATCACAAGCATTTTCAGTGCGCTGTTGAAGTTCTTCCAGAGAATTTACTTCTCCATCATGATACACCAACTCTTTCAAATAGCCCCGCAGAAAAAAAAATCGCAAGGCGTTCAATCCGGGGAGCGAGCAGTCCAAGAAATGGGTCCATTGCGCTCTAGCTCTCTATTCTCCAGCTCATTACTTAGTGTTCATGAACTTCTCATCTAAAATGTAGTGAAGCGTCTTTATGTAGGAACTACATATTCTGTCTCACATTTGGAAGAACATCTAATAATTGTGGCAGATTGTGTCAAAGAAAATCTAAATAAATTTCACCGGTCAGTCGAGGTGCAAAAAAGCAGGGCCCAATAAGCATGCCATTTACCACGCCACCAGCCCAAACATTTAATGAAAATCTATGTTGAAAATGAGTTCTTTTTACAGCATGCAGACCTTCTACTGCCCGAACATCATTGTCGTGGAAATTGTGCACTCCATCCTCGTTGTAAATGTAGCCTCATCTGTATACAAAATTAATTTCGTTGAATCTTCATTTCTGTAGGACTGTTCTTAAAGCCACTGGCAAAATGCAACTCTTCTAGGATGATCTTCAGGTTGTAACGTTTGTACCCATTGATAATGATAAGGATAATACTGTTCTTGTAGTATTGTCTTCCACACTTGACTATGAGAAACTGTACTGATTGTTGGATCTGCGACCATTTCTAAAATGGCTTCCTTAATTTGTAACATTTCATGTTGAGCAGGTCTTTCAGCGTGACCTCCTCGTTGTTCTTTTAAATATCCTGTGTACGAAGTCTAATAACTAAATTTACAAGCATCCGTGGAGGCGGATGATTTCTTAAAGGAAACCTTTCCGCATACAACCTGCATGCTGTGGCTTCATTTTGTTAGCTTTCTCCGTATGTTAGTATTATGTCCACAAGTTCATTGTTTTCGTAAACATGGGCTATTTTTTCGCATAACATAATCAGACAAATGAAAATATACGCACTATTAAAAGACTGACCGAACCAAAGACTCGTACTGAAAACCATACAATAACACAAAAAGTTTGCCAAATTTAGACAAACGATAAGAGTAGTTAAAAAAAACGCCAAAATCTTACACGGCAGTGGTCGCGAATATCAAAAAATCTGTGTAATGACATTCTTGTTTTCTTAATTTTTATTCTTTTACTATTTCTTTTATTATGCAACTTTTATATTGGCGATTTTTGGTATACCAGCTCCTTTTTACGAGTCCTACAAGCAGTTAAAATAAATGACTCAACTTTGAAAACCCTGTATACCTAAATACTTTACATTTGACCTTTTTATTTCAATTGCTTCTTTGTTGAGTGAGAATGAAATCGATGTATAATAAGGTAAGTTAAGTAAGTCTTGCTATAATCTATAGTCGGTACTCTACTGGAAAACCACTGTACAATTTTCACGAAATCCTCTTTAATAGTGTTTCGGAGAGTATGCCAGTCATTTGCTTAATATAGAATTACTGTATCATCCGTGAAACTTCGGTTTCGATATCGAATAGGTCATTCAAACATAATGATAAATAATACTGGCGCAAGGGCAGTTCCTTGAGGAACACGTATTTAGTTGTTTTTTATCACTATGTATATATCTCTGACATTCGAAGAACATGGGATATGTTAATTAAATAGTTTTTGCGAAATGTGTGAGAAGTTTCTCTGAAATTAGAGGATTAGATTCAAAAAGTTTAGCGTGACTGTGTCAAGCGCACAAGATCAATAACTGTTAACACTGAATAAATTGAGGACAACGAAAAGATATATTCATGAAGCTACCAAGAGTGTACCTTTGAGTTCGTCTTTTTTGCACGTGCACATGCCACTTGTATTCTTTAAGACAATAACAAGAGCGTACCCGACCTCAAAAAGGAAGGCCAGACACCTTCAAAAAAATTTTGGCTGAAGTTCCATAAATCACTATATACATAACTATGCTTGATATTTTTCTTTCTATTTGCATTTCATTTATATAGTTTTCCACGACGATTTGACAATTCATATGGATATGGAAAACTACTAAGATTACTTCTTTGTGCATCAATAATTTAATCTTTGTAAAATATCTCCATATTTAATTTTTGCCCCGTTGCCCGCCTGGGTACGCCCTTGGACAATAAGTAAAAAATAATTCATTAGCTAAATACTAATGAATTTGTAACAACCTTGCATGAATTACAACTCACAACACAAAGTAGGTACAATGGGTATTTCACGAAGTAAAGATATTAATTTTTCTTCTTTAACTAATAGCCTCTATTGGTGACACGACAGTTTAGTACTTTGCTGGTACCTGGATGTCAAGGTTGGAAATTAATCGTCTGTTACTATCGCATAACTTAGTATATACCTACTTATTGCACTGATAATTACACTTGAAAATTTGTAATGATCGGTAAAAGGTCGTTACGGGGACACATTATGTTATATTACATCGAAAATTACTTAGCAGATGGCAAAAACATGCGACAAATTGTATATATCGTAATATATTAGATTATAGGCAGTTACAGTTTGAAGGCTGTACGCAAAATTATTGAAACAAATGATTTTCTATTGTATATATGCCAATTAAATGATCATATGTTTTGGTATAAGCGGTTTTAAATGATAGGATGACTTATACACGACATTTTTGTTAAGTAATATTTAAGGATCTGGCAATTTATGAGGGCTTGTAAAATCGGTCGGTAATGTCTCTGGTAAACAGGTGAAGTTGACGTTTTTCGTAACTGGTTACAATAAACCTTTCAAAAATAATTAAATTTCCTTAATGGAGATAATACCCTTTATACTCACCAAATGTGCTTGCCTGGTTTCGTCAATATAATGCGTTGTGATGATCACAGTCGTTCTTCCGTGTTTGGTGATTTCCACCAAGTGGTTCCAAATCTGAGTTCTTAGGATGGGATCTACTCCTACAGTTGGTTCATCAAGAATGAGCAATTCGGGTTCGTGAATAAGCGTAGCAGCCAGGGAGACTCTGCGTTGTTGTCCGCCGCTAAGGTTCTTCACTTGCCTGAAGAAAATGTAGATATTCGTGGAGAAGTATGCCATTATTGGCCGAGCACTTTTATATCCTGAGTCCTGAGGATATAATGTACGAGCGCAATAATGGCCTTCCATACCGAGATATGTATAGAATTTTTTCCACTGCTATCTATGATATATGCCATTTGATTAGACTTTGAGGTATAGCATATTTGAGAATTTCCTGATTGTCCGGCAACATTGCCCGAATAAAGCACACACAGTGTCTGCTTCGCAGGACGGTGGTTAGGAGAGGGAGGCGTGTGCTACATGATAGGGTCCGACAAAGATAGAAGGTGCTACGTATATCGGCTCATCATTCGTTTCCCACTAATTTTCAAATACTCTAATTTATCGGGTAGGATGGGACTAAGCTGTCAAAATGATGGAATAAATAAACAAGTACAATCAACAACAATAATTTCAGTTCTAAAATAGACTCTTTATTTACTTGAAGTAAACTATAATTATTAGTAATATACATATATATATATATATATATATATATATTCAAAAATAGATAAAGGGTCACAATTTATGTCCAATAAGTCGAAGAAGCTCTGCATTAATGCACACATGCATTAAATTTCTAGCGATTTTTCCTTATCATCATTAATTTCTCAATTGATTTTGCGATAAATTTAGTTAACAACAAACTCTTCTTTCTCTCTAACTTTGGTATCCTGAAATACATACTGACTTGCAATACTTTAACAAGAGCAAAGGTCCTACGGAATTATCTGACATTGACGAATAGAGGAAGCGAGGTGTTTATAATTTTTAGACATCAGATTTTATGATTTGATTGAACTTTGTCTTATATGTTAGACCATTGATCGACATATTCTACCTAAAGCTAGCCAGACGGCGCTGAAAAAGGGATCTGAAAGATCCTAGGGCCATCTATGAGACAGTAGCGGAACCAAACACCCTAACTCTTGTCAGAGTAGGATTCTAGTTCTGCTCTGTCTTATAGTTGGCGCTAGATCAGATATGATTGAATATTGTCTTATATGTTAGACATTCTCTACTAAAACATCACGATTGGCATTCTTTAGTAGAATGCCTCTGTTATTCCTAGATTATCGGCAAATCGGTATTGCGAACCTGGGTGGACGGCTACGTCAGGAGTTTATAGCTATCAAACGTCAGATTTAGGTATGATTCATAAAGACTATAGGCGGTAACTGCATAAGGGATACACGTATTAGTATGAAGACAATCTTGTCGCCAACGACAGTGTAGCTCTCGGAAATCTATTGGGCGTAGAACATGACGTAGAGCGTGCGTGCATTGAAAAATGTCAACATAATCTGCCGCAATCTTTATGCGCATTTAACTCACTCTTTTTATTAATATTATCCAATATTTCTGCTTACAACTCATCTGTACTGTCAAAACTGGAGTAGTTACAGTCATGATGACAGCAACAGATGCAGATGCCACATGCGCAGAGCCTGAAATTAATTTGCTGCGCAGTGTACCAACTCACTTCATCATAGACATTTTTGGCTTCACCCTCACTCTTTGACTTTAACTTCCTATCTCTAGTCTTCATGGTATGAAAAATTATTCTAGCTAATTACAACAAAGCATTGGACATATGTGCTTTAATGATAGGAAAAATGAAATAATCAATGCACAATGTGAGGAAAGTGTATACCTAATATCTTACCTGTCGGCATCTGGCAACATTAGGAAATTGATGAAAAAATCAACTTTGGCATCTACTTGACTAGTGGTCATGTTGGCAATCCAACCGAAATATTTAAGCGTTTCACGAATGCTGAATTCCCCATAAAGAGCTATCTCCTGAAAAATATTTGTATTAATAGAAATGTATCATTCTCACTAGTTCAGTAGAGTTCCAATAAATAGTACGCTTTGGAGTAAAGTAGTTTTGTCAGTTTAATTTTTGACAACTGTGCTTATTTCGAAGCATTTTATGACAGCTACCTTTTTTTACTTTCATTCGGTGCTCCATTTGGGTGCTTCTCCCTATCATTAGTTCAAGAACAATGTGGAATCAAAACAAAACTGTTGCAAGTTGCACAAACCTGAGGCATGTATCCAACACGAGGTCCAGGTACCCCACTACCTCTTGATCCAGGTGTTCCTCCCAGCACCCAGATCTCTCCTGAGTTAAGTCTTTTTCTTCCTACTATACAGTTCAGCAATGTGGTTTTACCGCAACCACTAGCGCCTAGTAGGCCGTATCTATAACAAAATTGTTGTTAGTTAATTTCGTAGGCTGGGAACAAGAAACCATTGTAAAATAGAGTCAACTTATTCGACGCCGTTTTGGGGGAGGCCAACAAAAAAATTGATATATAGGTGTCATAAGAAATTGGAATGTTTTTTATTAATAGAAAAACAGTTAATATTTTCAAAAGTAAATCCCTGTTAATGTCGTAGAATTACTGAGAATTATTCTTTTCTGTGTTTTGAAGGTCTTGGACGTGGCTGCCAGGCCAATAACCGCAACTGCGGCTCATCTGCAAACCCGCGTACAAGAATGTAGGGTTGAACATACATATATTCTGTCGCAACATCCGACCCTGAGAACCTGTTCCCAAAGAAGTGAAAAAACGAATAAAATTTTTAATCGCGGATGCTGCAGAAACGAGATTTCAGAGCAAAAGGATAAACTTGGTGCAGTTAAGTCTTTTTTGTCAATTAAAATGTGGTCTTTGACATCATAAAGCCAAGCTGATCATAATGCGAGAATGACTAATATATATACATATCCTTTAATTTCTTTGGGTTCTTTGCAAAAGCACACTCTTATAACTTAAAATCTCAAGCTTTCGAAGAATTTTTTTCTTCATCGTCTGGAGTAAGTCGGCGAGATTGTTGCTGAAATTGTTTTTTAAACAACAGTGAAGGGAACACATAGTCTACGAATAAAAAATTGGACCGATGAGGTTCGATTAGGACGGAATTATTTTATTGTTAAATGGCAAATCATTTTGAAAGGTTTTAATTAAAATTAGGCGTTGATTGATTTTGGAAGGAATTTGGAGATTTTGAAACTATCAACTATTGAAAATTCCCCCGAGATTTCATATTTTTTCCACTGATAACCTCCACATTATCCCAAGAGGAGTTTCAAAATCTCCAAATTTCTTCCAAAATCAATCAACGAATAATTTTAATTAAAACCTTTCAAAATGATTTGCCATTTAACAATAAAATAATTCCGTTCTAATCGAACCGCATCGGTCCAGTTTTTTATTCGTAGACTATGTGTTCCCTTCATTATTGTTTAAAAAACAATTTCAGCAACAATCTCGCCGACTTACTCCAGACGATGAAGAAAAAATTCTTCGAAAGCTTGAGATTTTAAGTTATAAGAGTGTACTTTTGTAATATTTTGCCTTCTACCCAAAGAAATTAAAGGATATCTTCTCCTAACATCTAAGGCAATTAACTATGAATACTATATATATAACTTGAGACGTGGTCATTTTCGTCTAGACCAATAAGGTGAAAAATTCGAAGTACCCAACAAAAGGCGGAAGCTTTAATTTTTCACCTATATATATATATATATGTATAACAAAAATAGGAAAATTTATTTTTTATATACAGGGTGTTCCATAATTATTGCGACAAAATGATAGGGGTTGTAGAGGGCATAAAAATACGCAATTTTGCCTTATAAACCCCTGTTCGTAAAAATGCCGCTTGAGCGGTAATTTTACCTTAAGAGCTCATAGGAGAAACAAAAAATTCACCAGCTGCAAAATGTTCGTCTAACACATTTCATGGTCTCGCTGGTTTGTAAAAAAAGCCTGCTGTGTTTACATTTTTGTTATCGTAAGTCCTCAACACCGATTCATTTAATTTACCTGAGTGGTGCGTCAAACTAGATAGTAAATAACAGTACCTTAGTGTTAAAGTGCAGCGTTATTCGTATGCGGAACTTGCGGATATGCATTTAATTTACGAAGAAGCTGGTGGTAACGGAAGACGAGCCTCGCGAATCTACGCCCAACGGTTTCCAGAACGTTCTCATCCGCATCACGCCATTTTTGCAAGGATTCATGGACGTAGACAGTAGAATTTGAGGAAGCGATTCTGCATCATGTAGAGGCCAATCCGCGTACAAGCGTGCGTGCTATTGCACATGATATGGGAGCGTCTCAAACTACTATTTGGCGGGATCTCCATGACCAGCAACTACACCCATACCACCTTTCAAAAGTCCAAGCCATGGGTCCAGAAGACTATCTGCCGCGTCGACGTGTTTGTCGTTGGTGGCTGCAGCAGGAGTTGAGGCAACCAAACTTTGGTCGCTACGTTTTGTTCACTGACGAGTCCTGTTTTACAAAGGACGGTTATTTTAATAGCCGTAACAGTCACATTTGGTATGAAGAAAACCCTCATGCCATAGCCATCCATAGAGACCAACATTAGTTTTCAATTAACATCTGGTGCGGCATTGTGGACGAGCATATCATTGGGCCCTATTTGCTTCCACCACGTTTGGATGGGCATGCTTATGGTCGATTCTTACAGCATGTGCTACCGGAACTATTAGAAAATGTGCCACTGAACATAAGAGCCAACATGTGGTTTCAACACGATGGCGCTCCAGCCCACTTTTCTTTACAAGTGCGGCAGTATTTGGACGACAAAGTTCCAAATAGGTGGAAAGGCCGAGGTGGCCCTGTGCCTTGGCCTGCCCTGTCACCCGACCTGACCCCACTGGATTATTTTCTCTGGGGCCATCTGAAAGCTTTAGTGTACGAAACTCCTGTTCCCAACCAACAAGAGCTACTGGGAAGAGTGATGGCCGCGTCCGCACATGTTCAGGACATACCGGGGGTATGCCACAGAGTTCGCCGATCATTGAACAATCGTGCACAGCTGTGTATTGAGCAAGGTGGAGGACACTTTGAGCAATTACTGTAGGTAAGCTGTTTCAAGAAACTGATCTTTTTTTTTGCTGCATCCCAAACGGCATATTTCCGAACAGGGGTTTATGAGGCAAAATTGTTCATTTTGATGTCCTCTACAACCCCTATCATTTTGTCGCAATAATTATGGAACACCGTGTATATGTATATATATATATATCGTCTGCTGACACTCGTTTCTATAAAATCATGGCAAATTAGGGAGAATTATAATTTTGCATACGTGGTGTTAGTTAAGTACTTGGCCAAACAGGCTATCTGGAGATACATACTTTTCAAGATACAGAATGTCAAACTTGTTTTCAAGATTTTTCCATTAAAAATCTTACTTTGTTAAAATTTGTTACGATTTAGAAACAGAAAAAGACGATCTGAATTTTTATTAAAACATTTTTCTTCAAATGATTTTGGTTTAATTTTCAGCAATACATGTGTAGTTGCTTAACTTTAACAAAATTGGTTGAAGGGTCTACAAAGATTTTTGTAAATAACTTCTTAGAACCGCTCAAGCTATCACTACTTGTTGGGCCAGTTACTTTTTTAACGCCCTGAATACCACACAAACAAGTTGCATACAGATGCAACAACTACTGTCGGTCCCTTTGATCTCGGTGTCACCGACTGTATGGCAATTATCCTACCAATTGCTATGGGCGCCTGCAGCGTTTTTCTCCATAGTGTGCAAATAAAAGTTAGCATTATTTAATAACCTAACATGTAATTACTACGAGGAAGCGCATTTTTTGTAAATCATTAAGTTTCTGGTAGAACCTTTGAGACTTGCGCGCTAGGAAAATTTGTCCCTTCCACCCTTCAAAAAGTTTTTTCTACGGTGCTCTCGTATGTTTGTACAGGCCCTCCTGGGGAAAATTTCTGAGGGGGTTCATGGTGATTGATATGATAGTTGTCAGGTAGTCGCTGACATCAAGATCAAAGCGACCGACAGTTACTGTCGCATCTATATGTATGACATCTGTGACACAAGGAAGTAGACGTGTATTCTATCAATTACAGATTGACGTATTTTAATATCAACATACTAAATATTCACTATACAGGAGTAGAAGATTGATTCCTTGAATAAAAAGTTAAACAAAAGACGACAAAAAAGAGTTATCAATATTTCTTCCTAAATGGGCCACTGGATTTATAAAGAACTATTTCAGTAAAAAAGTAAAAGATTCATAAACCGAAGTATCGATTTATCATACGAATACGTCATGATAGCTCTCAATAAATTAAATGTGAGTCTTTTGATGGAAGGTTGAAAAGGAATTGGACTGAATAGAGTTAGATTAAGTTTGCAGAAAAACCAATGAAAAAAGCTTTGAACAACTTCTATAATAATATAGAATTTAATTCAAACATAAGCAGATATTTCTTCGGGTTTTGTACCGTTTTACTTCCCACGGCACTGGCGGGAAAGTATTGTAATCGCGAAAATTTTCAAAAATGAGATACTTGTCGCGTTCTATATACACAAAACCTCAGAATAAGCTCAACTCGCTTCAGTTTACTCAGTTTATTGCGCATTCATTTTACCAAATCTCAGTTTAAATGTACGTTAGTTAGATTTCTTTCTCAAGCGAGTCAGACATCAGATTTGACAGCCTCATGTCTATTTGAATGTCTCACTTCATTTGCAAAACGAACGCAACAATTACGTTTTCTAGAGCGGAGGGGGTTGGGAGGTTGCAAGGGGTCGCGTATATGTCGCACATGCTATGCTTTACGAACGCATACTTTTGTACAAATTCCTGTCTGCGCCTGACCTTACAATTTGAGTGAAGTTGTGTGATGATTTTAGTAAAATCATGTTTACGCGAACAATTTTCAAACAAATTTGGATAATATTACGAAACACTTCTACGTTATCACATTGACTGATGAGTCACCTTTATGTTCCGAAGACATATATTAGATTTGCATATTTTTTAGGGTTAAATCACCGACAGTGAGAAATGACCTTAAATACAGAAATTGATAAACATTCTGAAATTAATATACATTTTTGTCTATGGATAGTAACTGGTTGGCAAGCTTGTAAATCAAAAACCCCATAGGAAGCTTGAAGATTCATAGATTACTTATACAGTTTTGCAAGGTTTTTATTTAATGGTCAGATAAGGTAAATGTGGGAATACCGTGTAAAAGAGTCTGTAGGCAGTTGGCAATGATGCACTGGGTTTTCCGATAGATGTTACAAAATTTCCTCTTCGACATTGTTTAAGAATTCATAGTCAGGGTATAAAGAATGACCTCAATTAGAATTATAGGATACCTTTCGACATATAA